AAGGTCTCTTTGTGCTGCGGCAAGAGAGACAGGTCCAGAGTCTCCTGTTCTCCCAGCCAACGTTTCATAATAATAATAATAATAATCCTTGCATTTAATACAGCGTCTTAACACATCATTGAGACGTCTCAAAGTGCTTTGCAGGATATATTGTAAAGTATAAGGTTCCAGTTTAATGTCTCGTCCTTCAGATGAGATGTTAAGCCGAGGTCCCATCTGCCTGTTCAGGTGAATATTAATGATCCAACAGCACAATTTGAAAAGAGAAGGGAGTTTCTTTCTCCCGGTGTCTTGGCCAATAATCCCCAAAAGACGTCACTCACTGCTGTGCGCAACTGGCTGGCATGTTACACCCACAAAATACAGTCACTACACTTTACAATATATTTTGCGAAGCGCTTTGTGATGTCTTGATAGTGTGATAAGGCACTGTATTAAATGCAAGGATTATTATGAAGAAAATTGGCTGTGTATTTTGTCGGTGAAATGCGGCAGCCAATTCCACACAGCAGTGTCCTACAAACAGTTGTGGATTCAGTGACCAAATTATTATTTCTTTATTTTGGGTGAGCAATCCGCCACTCGACTAATGATCCCTGCATTTACTACAACGTCTTTCACATCGGCATGATGTCCCAAAGCGCTTCACAGGATACACTGTAAAGTGTAGTGACTGTGTGTTTATAGGCGAACGCAGCAGCCAACTTGCATGCAACAACGTCCCACAAACAGCCATGGAGTGAGTGACCGATTTTATCTGGGGGATTGTCGGCCAGGACACACACAGTGGGAGAGAGAGAGAGAGAAGCCCCCTTCTCTTTTCAAGCAGTGCCAAGGGATCTTTAACTCTCCCTCCGCCTGAACAAGCACAGGTTGGACCTTGGTTTAACATCTCAACCGAAGGATGGCACATCTGACAAAGAAGCACACGCCCAGCACTGGGTTGGAGCATCAGCATAGACTATGCAAATTCAAAGTCCTGACCGGGGGCTTTAACCCATCGCTTTCTGACTCAGAGTGCTCCCTCACCCGCCCATCCCACCCCACCCCCAAAGCTGACAGCTCCTTATTACTGGAATGTTGCTGCCATTCCTGGATTTGTGCGGACTTGTTGCTGGGCTGGAAACAAATCTGCAAGGATTACACTTTTCTTACACTTCAATAATTGGTGTGTCATGTCACCTGCAACATGTGCTGAGATAGGCAGTCTTTACAGAGAGAGAGAGAGCACCTTTGCTGTGGTGCAACTTTGTGGAGTCCTGCAGTGTGTTGGTTAGAGCACTCGCCTCGCAAGCAGGAGGACTCTTATCACGTCGTTGAGACATCTCAAAGCGCTTCACAAAATATACTGTAAAGTTCATTGCGGGTACAGCAGTGTCCCACAAACAGTCGTGGATTGAGTGACCACATTTTTAATACTTTATTGTATTTTTGAAGGGATTATTCCCCCGGAAAAGTGATCCACCCATCGACAAACAACCGGGTTCCCACTTACTGCTGGTGAACAGAGGCGTTTGGAGTAAGGACACTTGGCTAAGGTTTTGCCCGGCCCGGGAATTGAACCCGGGTCCTCTCGCTTGCGAGGCGAGGGCTCGAACCACTACACTCCATTGGTGGGATGCATGAAATTCTCAGTTTGGTTTGGATCCTCTGAGGCCGATAGGTTTCCGCAAGTGTCGGACACCCAATTATTGGGGAATGAGTCAAGGTGCGGCAAATCCGTTTCTCACCCATCGGTAACAATTAACACTCAAGGCGACAGGTCCATCCATATCTGTGAGAGATCCACTGCCCTGTGTTCTCTCTATCTGTGTTCTCTCTATCTGTGTTCTCTCTATCAGCGCCTTCTCAAAGGGAATTGCAGAGCATTGTTATAGGGAAATAGATTTAAAAAACTGACGAAACTCCTCAAAGTGGGTTTTCTGGAGGATTTTGTTATGTGGTGAATCAGCACAAATGTTGAACTCTAGCTCAGAACATAATAGCCCTGTGGTATGGTATGCCAGCAATGTTCAGCTCATAAAGCTCCTTATTGTGCTGTCCTTATTCAGTAGATGTCTTGAGCTTGACCTCAGTAGGAAAAGAGTGGGTGAGAAATTGCGAGAGTTAGCAAACGGCTCTTGAGCAGAAAACCCACAGATCGCACCGTTGTTTATTTTTGAAACCGTTTTCTCCCAATAATAATTATGTAATAATCATCCTTGCATTTGATATAGCTCTTTATCACGTCGTTCAGGCATTCTCGAAGCGCTTCACAGAATATACTGTAAAGTGGATTGACAGTGTTTTTGTGGGCGAAACACGGCAACCAATTGTGCGCAGCAGCGGCGTCCCACAAACAGGCGTGGATTGAGTTATCAAATTACTGTATTATTATTTTTTCAGAGAGATTATTATCTCTGGAAAGTGATCCGTCAATCGATTATACTTACTGGATTCATACTTACTGCTGGGTAAACAGAGGTGTGTGGAGTAAGAAAAGTTCCCGAAGGTTTTGCTCTGCCTGAGATTTGAACCCAGGTCCTCTCGCTTGCAATACGCTATAGGACTTCACAATAACCCTTGGTTCAGTACAACAGTCAATTCACTTTGCAGTACACTCTGTGAAGATCTTTGAGACGTCTGTATGACATGATAAGGCGCTATATTAGATGCAAGGATTATTATTATTAGAGCACCTACAGTGAACTGAACTGAACTGGTTTCCTTCCTTTAATTTAATTTAATGCTGTTTTCTTGCTGTTGTGCCTGAGGTTTGGGAGGTCAGTGATTACAGTGAGCTCCCTGTGTTACAATAATAGTTTTCCTCTCGTTACTGTGCTGAGCAGCTAAAAATATCACACTCTTATTTTTAGTTCCTTTTTGTTGCTTCAAATCTTTTCCCGGCTTTATCGTGTTCATCAATCTCCTCTTGTTTGGATTCTGCCTCGTGATTTACTGTTTTCTGCTAAATATTCACTCCCACCTAAGCTGTATGTGTGCACACGTGTATGTGTTGCGTGTGTGTATGATTTGTCTGTGTGTACAGAATATATCTGTGTGTGATTATAGAATATATCTGTGTTCTATACGCTGTTAAGTGCACTGTTAAGTGCTCTTGAGATATGCGTAATATGCGTGTGTTATATCGTGTGTGTGCGCGTGTGTGTGCGCACATCCTGAGTTCACTTGTTCCTTGTACTCAGATTCTTGCCTTTGTTCAGACCTGAATTTGTGTGCGGGGAAAGCCTATATCAATGCCAAAACTGCTTCACGACAACGCTGCTGTGGAAGCTGAGGATCGTACACCTCAACAGTTTACAATACATAATAGACGTCAGCAGTTTCTAGCTGTGATACAGTTCATACCAGGCAGAATTAGGAACTACACAGTTGGAGGTCCTGTAGTGTAGTGGTTAGAGCACTCGCCTCGCAAGCGAGAGGACCCGGGTTTGATTCCCAGTCAGGGCGAAACCTTAGGCAAGTTTCCTTACGCCACACACCTCCGTTTAACCAGCAGTAAGTAGGAACCTAGTTGTTAGTCGATTGGTGAATCACTTTCTGGGGGCAACGATCTCTTCAAAAAAAGAAAAAAATATTAGGTCACTTAATCCACGACTGTCTGTGGGACGATGCTGTGCGCAACTGGCTGCCGTGTTTCGCCCACAAAATATACAGTTAATTCACTTTACAGCATATTCTGGAGGCGCTTTGAGATGTCTCGACTACTTCGATAAGACGCTGTTTTAAATGAAAGGAGTATTATAATTATTATCACGTGATGCAGCACAATTTAGAGTTGCACAACCCCTTTCACATAGAGAGGGCGTCTCAAGGTGCTTCACGCTGCTGGCTGGTGACAGCCGATGATACCATTTTTATGTTTCATGTTTTGGGATGCTCACCATAGTGTCATAGAAATTTACTGCACAGAAAGCAGGTTCAGCCCATCGAAAGTGCACTGGCTCTCAGAGCAAGGAATTCATTCAGTCCCACTCCCCTGCTCTACCCCCACACCTCTTTAAGCCTCTAATCTTCATGTCTACCTGTCTACCTCTCCTCATCGCAAAAGCTCCTCGTCCCTGGGCTCCTGTGCAGGAGCTCAATCATTGCAGTTCTACTGTTTAAGATCCATTTACGTTGCTGTAACCTACAGTAAACCTGCTGTAATGTGGGGTTGCAGCTTATGAGCAGCAGTGGGCGAGGGCACTGTCCGTCCTCCCATACGCTCATACTGTCACTTGGCAAATGACCGACTCGTGACGAGACTCTTCAGGTGGGGGGAGGGGTGTACGTGGGGGGTCTTCTCTGACCTGAACTGATTCCAATGTGACATGCCGGCCGGTCTCCACTTTGGAGCTAGTTCCTTCCCCCCTCGGAGGATGGTCATGGTTTTCAAGAGCTCTGGGACGCTATCCTGCGTGAGGGGCGCAAGTTGTTGTTATTTGTCATTACCGCAGAGTAGTGCAAGTGTAACAGTCTCCCGATTTACCTGAGACAGTATTCCAGGCCACTGCTGATGTAAGTCCAGCCAACCTGGTGTAGCAGGAGGGATGCTTCCCACTCATCCTCTAAGCCAAAGCCCTGGACAGGCAGCGTGAAGCTTGTCAGATAGCGCTCTCAATATGGTTTTGATTGGACTCTAGCAGTTACCCACAACTCACACTGTGGTGATCCCCCCCACCCCCCAAAGCCTTGGCTCTTGCTAACCTGCGCCTATTAGTTTCTGGACTTGGGTAAGCAGCCCGAGTCCCTCCAGGAAGAGAGTGTGCATTGCGTTCCAGATACAGGGAAATTCTATGTAGAGGTGGCAGATATAAGCGGGACTTTGTCTGGTGTGGATACTCTTAAGCACAGTGATGGGTTTCCATGTGTGTCAAACACCCGGCTGACCAGACAAGAGACAACGCTCTGATGTGAACCAGATGTGAGCACGAACACAATTTAATCCAAACATTGTTTTTCTCTTTCTTCCCTGTCTGGGACTCCTCGTCCTGAAAACAAATGGTTAACGGCAACAGGAGTCAACCAAAGGTAGGCTGTGTTGTGTTTTTATTTGGGTCACCTTCTCGCCCTGGCACCTCCCTACCTCTCCGACCTGCTTTCTCCCCACTCCACTACTCGCTGCCTCTGCTCGGCTGGCTCCGGCCTCCTGTTTGTCCCTCGTCCCTGCTGCTCATCGGCGGCCACGCTCAACCACTACGTCACCAAGCTTTGGAACTCTCTCCCTCAATCCCTCGACTTCCCCCCTCCTTCCCCTCTCTTAGATCACGACTGAATACCTTTCTCTTACGGTCACCTCCGCCCTTCCCCCCGGCTCGGCGTCAGACTCCGCCGCTTTGGGCTTTAGCTGGTTAAACGGTTATCCCCAACACACACTATGGGGTGGCCGAACCTTGGCTATTGCCAGCCTGGCGTGGAGAGTCTTACGCACAGGGATGGGACGCTGTGCAAATGAAAGTTGTTGTTGCTGTTATGTTGTTGCTGCTATTGCTCTCTGGATCACTATTTATTCTTGACTTGTGGGTTACTGTTGAAGAGAAGCACACAATAATCTACAACCCTTCTCCTCCTTACAGATTTTTGCATACGATCACTGTTTCTGGTCTATTGACGAGTCTGTTACGGAGAAATTTGCAGGTATTTTTACACAGCTTCACATACAACATGTAACCAGTCTGTGCCAGTGATTATACTCCACACGAGTCTTCACCCATTCCCTTACTCCCTCCCATAATTTTGCATTTCGCCCACAAATATACAGTCAATTCACTTTACAGTATATTCTGTGAATCGCTTTGAGCCTTCTAGAAGACGTGAAAAGCGCTATATCAAATGCCAGGATTATTATATTATTATTATACCATCCCATAACCATCTATATTCCCCCTCCCTCATGTAAAGGTTTAGCTTCAGCAATTTATTCGATTACACCAGATCTTTTAATCCCATTTCCCCCCTCTCTCTCTCTCTCCCCTAACACCTTTGCTTCCCAAATATCCATCTATTTCCCTTTAAAACATGGCAACTATCCCTCTATGGGCTTACAGACTGAACTGGGAGTTTCCTCCTCGTAGAACAGGAGAGAATCACAGCTCTGAGGAGGCCATTCGGCCCATTGAGCCTGTGCTGGTGCTGGCTCTATGGACCTAACTACTCGATCCCCAAGTCCCCGCTCTTTCATACTTTCCTTATTTTATAAAACTGTTAATATTGATAATTCCAGAATTGGTGCAGCGCCTTTCACATCAGGAGGATATCTCAAAGTGCTTCACTGGATTTACTGAATAGTGGAGTGACTGTGTAGGCGAATGCTCCAGCCAATTTGCGCACCTCGATTTTTAACATCTCACCCAAAAGACGACACCTCCAACGTTGAAGGGATTAGTATATAATCTATTCATTTTTTTTTTCTTTTCCACTTTTAATTTTCTTCTTTCCCTCCCTCTCCCTCAGGTCAAGATGTCGTCTTCAAGTGCCTTGGTGAAGACCTACTCCAAAATGCCTTCAAAGGATACAACGCCTGTATCTTTGCTTATGGACAGACTGGTAGGTTGCTGGAGGGGCCCTTTCATGAAATTGATTTGGGAACCTTCCTGCCCCTGCACTCTCGAGCTCCATCCCTGAGTCCCTCTGACTCCCTCTTTCCCCTCGTTCAAGGCCAGTCTCAAAAAGTACCTCTTTGACCGCACTTATGATCATCTTCTCCATCCCCCCCATACCCCTCCTGCCCCTATTGCCTCCCAGCAATGTCAGGCAAAGCACTTTGTGGTGTGGTTCTGTAAATTGTATTGTATCGAAGCTGCCACATCACCAGGTGAGGGCCCACTATACAACTCTGTACGGAAATACTCTATCATCCTCTGAATTTAAACAACAACCACAATTTGTATTTATATCGCGCCCTTCACATGGGGCAGTGTCTCAGAGCACTTAACAGTGGTGGAGCCTGACGCCGAGGTGGGTAATCACGGTCAAAGAGGAAGGTCTTCAGGCGTGATCTGAAATAACAACAACAAATGACTTCTGTACAGTGCCTGTCACATCAGGACGGCGTCCCAAGGCGCTGGATAGTAAGGATTTGGATCTGATGGGAAGGAGGGGGCAAGCTGGAGAGATTCGGGGAAGGAGTTCCAAAATGCCACAAATTTGGCTACACATTTGACGGCCCTGATCTGCTGTCGCTGGTCGGGTTGGGGTTCATTATTAACATGGATTCTGTGGTTAGGCTCAGGGAAATCCTACACGATGATGGGGACAAAGGACAAGCCAGGCCTGATCCCGCGGCTGTGCAGTACACTGTTTGAGAGAACGTTACAGGAGGAGAACGATGAGCAAAGCTTCAAGGTGGAGGTGTCGTACATGGAGATCTACAACGAGAAGGTGCGGGACCTGCTGGACCCCAAAGGGTAAGCGGGTAAATGGGAACAGGGAACAATAATAATAATAATAATCCTGGCATATGGTACAGTCTTATCATTTCGGAATGATGTCTCAAAGTGCTTCACAGGATTTACTAGGATATAGAGTGACTGTGTATTTGTGGGCGAAGGAGGCAGCCCAATTGCACACAACAAAGTCCCACAAACAGCCACAAAACGAATGACCAATTTTATTTGGGGGATTGTTGACCAGAACACCAGGAGAGGGAAATTCCTCTTTTCGGGGAGTCCCACAGGAGCTTTACCGTCCACCGGAGCAGACAGATGGGACCACGGTTTAATGTCTCATCTGAAAGTCAGCAGCTGTGATAATGCTGCACACCACCAGCCCTGCACTGGAGTGTCAGCCTTGACAGTGAGTTGAAAGACCTGATACGGGGTTTGAGCACACAGGCTTCTGGCTCAGATGCGAGAGCTCTACCAACTGACACCTATTGACACCGTTTTGTGTAAATTTACAACTGGTTCAAGCTGATGCTCCTATGCAGTGCTGGGGAAGTGCTATTATTGTCAGAGGTGCCGTCCTTCAGATAAGATGTCAACCAGAGGTCCTGTCTGTGCCTGTTCAGGTGGACGTTAAAGATCCTTTGGCACTTGGTGAAAAGAGAAGGGAGTTTCACTCTCCCGGGTCCCGGCCAACAATCATCCAGAATGAATTGAACATACGGCGTGACCTTGTGCAAAATGGCTGTTGCATTTGCCCACAAAATCAATTGCTACACCTCTCAGTGATTTACTGTAAAGCCCTTTTAAGACGTTGTTTATGAAAAGGCAAGAAAAAATGTTCTTTCTTCATTCACTCAAATTTTTTAGCTGGACCGATTACACGCACGTCTACACTTCCCTTCTATTTATCTGTAACCTCATTGTGTAAATAGCTTCCACATTGCACACATGGTGTAATATAGCTATCACATAGCTACAGCCTTGGCAATGCCTGTGTCACTCTGTGGGCACTATTCTGGCACATCGTGTTCTCTGAAAAGTCACAGCCTAATGGAGACTATTCAAAAAGGTCATCCATCCCACCAAGGTCTCATCCACGTGGCAATATTAATTCTTAATGATACAGTGCCTTATCACAGCGACATTTTTCCTCCCCTCGACCACACCCCCAGCTCGGGTGCCAAGCCGTTGTTGTTAAGTGCTTTGGGACGTCCTTCCGACATGACGGTTGCTATACTCTAACCAATATGCTACAAGACTTGTGGAGTCCTGTAGTGTACTGGTTACTGCGCTTGCCTCGCAAGTGATTCCCGGGCAGGGCAAAACCTGAGGCCCGTTTCCTTACTCACATACCCAGCAGTAAATAGGAACTTGGTTGTTAGCCGATTGGCGGATCCCTTTCCTGGGGTAATAAATAATCCCTTTAAATAAATAAATTGATCACTCAATCCACACACTGTTTGTGGGACAGACGCTGCTGTGCGCAATTGGCTGCCGCGTTTCATCCACAAAATGTACAGTCAATCCACTTTACAGTATATTCTGAGAAGCGCTTTGAGATGTCTCAACGGCGTGATGACAACAACAACAAAATTACATTGTATAGTGCCTTTCACGTGGGGAATTACGTTACGTCCCGAGGTGCTGGTAAAGCGCTATGTCAAATGCAAGGATTATTATTATTATAAATCATACATTAGATCACACTAACCAGGCACTACAAACATTTCTATAGCTCCTCTCATGTTTCAGAGCTGCCTGCGATTCCGAGCTGGGGAACCACTGAGCTGTCTCAGTTTCCTTTTCGTCCTCTTGGGCTTTATGACTATGGCTCTCTTTTTTTTAACCCTTTGAGTTCCTGTGGCTTTTTATTTAATTCCAGCGCTTTTGCTGATAATGGTCTGAAAGCGTAGATAAATAACAATTATAATCCTTGCATTTGATACTGCGCCTTATCACGTCTCAAAGCACGTCACGGAATAATAGTAATACTAATCCTTGCGTTTGATATAGCGCTTTTCACGTCAGGAGGACGTCCCAAAGCGCTTCACAGAACACACTGTAAAGTGTAGTGACTGTTTATTTTGTGGGTGGAACACAGGGCAATCCCTGTTGTGGAGCTCTGAGACCATACCCAAGGTGAAGGCCAAGATATTAATGCAGGTGGTTGCTGTGTAGCACAGTGACCGGGCCCAATTGAATGATGTTGCTCCAGCAGTTACCCTAACACACACGCTTTGGATCTTGCCAATGTGCGCTAATACTCTCCGGAATTAGGTAAGCGGGGTGTGCCCCTCCAGGGAGAGACTGCGCAATCCATGCGAGACGCAGGGATATTCCCATATTTACTGGGTGCCCACAAAGTCCTGTTACTCCCTCCTTCCCCCTCGTTATAAAACAGGAATATAAGACTGTGGAGGAGCTGAAACACGCTGCCACAGATTCATTTCATCTCCTCACTGACTCCATCCAGATGTCACCCCAAACATGGCAACGAATCATTATCTGCCATGAAAATGATGGCGCTCAATCACTCGCTCCCTCCCTCCCTCGCTCACTCACTCAAACCCATCTAACTACAGTTAAACACTTGTACTGAATACAGTGAAATATTTCTATGTAGAATGATCATCATTCTTCCACACGTTTCAGTTGTTGGTGAATGCGCTATAGGAGAAAATATAATAATAATAATAATCCTTGCATTTGATATAGCGCTTTTCACGTCGGGAGGACGTCCCAAAGCGCTTCACAGAACACACTGTAAAGTGAATTGACTGTATATTTGTGGGCGAACGCGGCAGCCAATTGCGCACAGCAATGTCCCACAGACAGTCGTAGATTGAAAATGACCAATTTATTATTGTTTTTGGTTTTGGAGGGATTATTATTAGGCTCTGTGTGGAGTAAGGAAACTTGCCCAAGGTTTCGCCCTCTGCCTGGAATTGAACTCAGGTCTCTCACTTGCAAAGCGAGTGCTCTAACCACTGAGCTACAGGACTCCAACATGGGGGTAACATGATTTTGTGGCACTCTGTAGTTTGTATACATCTGTAAATCTCAGTCGGGTTAAACGCAGTGATGGGTTTCCACGTGTGTCAGAGACCTGCCCCACCCAAACCTACCCTTGAACTCTGACCTCTTTATCTTCTCTTTGTTTGGTGTTGGTGATGTAGAAGTCGTCAAACCTTGAAGGTGAGAGAGCACAAGGTTCTGGGTCCATATGTGGATGGCTTGTCCCGACTGGCTGTGGCAAGTTATAAGGTAAGCAATGGATTCAAACAGCTTCCTGCAGGCCATGCGATCACATCATCATCATCATAACAATCCTTATATTTGCGATGTAATGTGATGTCAGTGGCAGTTAGTCGCTCCTGCGATGCACAGGAACCACCATCCTAACGAGCTGGAAGTTGTCAGGCTACAGACAAAGAGCAGGAAGTGGGACAAAATGGAGACTGGGCAAAATTATCCGTAATTTCAACAACAAGAATCCGTAATTAAAGAACAATTTACATTTACGCAGCGCCTTTCATGTAGGGAGGACGTCCCGAGGTAGGGATTTGGACCCGAGCTGGGGGTTAGGATCAGGAGAGGTGGAGAGCTGGGACGGGATCGGTAGGAGGGTGACCGAACGCATGGTCGAAGAGGAGTGACTTGGGATGGACCTTGAAGGAGGCGAGGGAGGGAGTGATGGGAGGGACTGTTGGATGGATCTGGAGCTATGGGAAATGTAATGGCTCTTGGACTCTCTGAGTGAGAAATTTTGTTCCAACAGGACATTGAGTCTCTGATGTCAGAGGGTAACAAGTCCCGAACCGTCGCCGCGACCAACATGAACGAGGAGAGCAGCCGCTCCCACGCGGTCTTCAACATCATCCTCACACACACACTGTACGATCTCCAGTCTGGGGTGAGAGAACAGAACCATTTGCTGGCGAAATAAGACCGAGGTCCATCCAGTTCGACTTCCACCATCCTGGCAGTTACATGCACATGTCATGTCCCAAACCATACACTGTATCCAGAGATAATAAGAACATACTCCACTTGAGCAGAGAGCCCCTCCCGCTCAGTCCCTCCACTCGTCCCCTCTTTGCCCGTCTTCAGTCCTGGACAAATTCCCTTTTGACCCCCCGCTGTGATCCAATTAACAGGCTGCATTGACCAAAGGGCTTTCCTCTGTTCCTAAAATAATAATTATAATCCTTGCATTTGATATAGAGCCTTATCACGTCTTCGAGACGTCTAAAAGCGCTACACAGGATATACTGTAAAGTGGATTGACTGTATTTTGTGGGAAAAACACAGCAGTTAATTACGCACAGCAGTGTCCCACAAATAATCATTTGTTGAGTGAACAATTTTTTTAGGGGGATTATTAGCCCCGGAAAGTGATCCACATATCGACTAACAACCAGGTTCCTACTTACTGCTTGCTAAACAGAGGCGTATGGAGCAAGGAAACTTGCCTAACATTTCGCTCTGCCGGGAAACATACATGGGTCCTCTCGCTTGCGAGCCGAGCGCTCTAACCACCACACTACGGGTCCCTCACATAATAATTGCGAGCTCTTCTATCTCCAGACGTCCGGTGAGAAGGTGAGTAAGCTGAGCCTCGTGGACCTGGCGGGCAGTGAAAGAGCAGCAAAGAGTGGAGCAGTGGGTGACAGGCTGAAGGAAGGAAGCAACATCAATAAGTGAGTTCTCAGTGAAACGCTCATGTTTTCACCCCGGCTGTCTGGGAATTACTGTGATGTTGGAGTTTAAAATCCTCGTCCTTGCCTTCATGGCCCTCCATGGCCTTGCTCCTTCCTAACTCTGACCAGCTAACTCCATATCAACCCGTCCACTCCCTCCGCTCAGCGGGCTCTGGCCTGCTTCACGTCCTAATGACGTGAAAGGCGCTATACAAATGTAATTTCTTCTTGTTGTCCCCCGCCATCAGCTGTCGGGCCTGCAGCCTCTCTGCCCCACCCTTTGTTCCTTCGCTCCCTCTCCTGCCTCCTTCAAGACACGTCTCTGGACCCTCCTCCTCGACCGCGCCCTCCCTGCCCTCCATCTCTCCTGATCCCAACACTCAGCTTGCATCCAAATCCCGATTGCCTTTGGACGCTCTCCCGATGTGAAAGGCGTTGTACACATGTAATTTGTTGCTGTTGTTGGAGCAATGGAAGTCAAAAGCAAGGATTATTATCATCAAGCTGCTTTTTAAATGAGTCCCAGTGTCCTGGCCTCAACCCCTCTCCCTGGTAACCCAGTTCCAGTCGTTAATTACCCTCTGGATAAAGAAACACTTCCTGGTGTCTGTCCTGAAATTGCCCTTTACACCTCTAACCCTGTGTCCTCTTGTGATACATCCTAAAGTAATGATGTCGGTTTATTTTTTCAATCCCATTTAGAATAGTTTACAAGCATCTGCCTGGCTCCTGTCTGAAGGAGCAGATGGACGTTTCTTTGACTGCAGCATTACAAATGGTCACTGAATCCACAGGTGTTTGTGGGACGCTGTCGTGTGCAATTGGCTGCTGTGTTTCACCCACAAAATATTCATTCAATTCGCTTTACAGTATATTCTGGAAACCGCTATATCAAATGCAAGGATTATTATTCTGTGAAGCGCTTTGAGACGTCTCAATGATGTGATAAGACATTATATCAAATGTAAGGTTTATTATTTTTATTATTGGTCTGGAATTTACTATTTCAATCCCATTAAAAGATAGTTTACAAGTATCTGCCTGGCTCCTGTGTGAAGGAGCTGGACTTTGCTTTGGGAGCAGCAGGAGGAGGAGGATGATGATGATGTGCTGATGATTTACCCACTTGCCGTGTTGTTGTTACAGATCGCTGACCACGCTGGGCCTGGTGATCTCGGCTCTGGCTGACCAGGCCGCCGGCAAGAACAGGAACAAGTTTGTGCCGTACCGGGACTCGGTGCTGACCTGGCTGCTCAAGGTAACCCACTGAGAGCTGAGTGCCACGGCTCAGAGCTTCACTGCCACTGATACAGGGCTGGCGGGGAGAGAGATAGAGATGGACGCGTACATTGTCATGTTCTGAGACCTTATCCTGTGTGAAGAGCGCTATATATACAGCGAAGCCCTGATGACAACCTGGTTAACTTGTCACTAAGACTTCAGTCAGGGTGGTCCAGCTGGCGGCTGGCGAGCACGCAAACCACTACGCTATCCGCCTGCACGACTTTACATCCTGAGCGACTTGCATTTGTCAGTCCCGTTGTCTGGTGTCACTGGTGACAGGCTGGTCTCTCCCCTCCGTGTAACGTGGCACTGGAGGTATCACAGGAGCTTCCCTGACCTCGCAACTAATAATAATAATAATCTTTGCGGTTGATATCGTACACGATCACATTGCGATTGTCTCAAAATGCTCCACAGGATATACTGGAAGTGCTTTGTGCAAACAGCCACCGAGTGAGCGACCAACTTTTTATCTGGGAGGTTGTTGGCCAGTACACGGCGAGAGAGAAACTCTCTTCTCTTTTCGAATAGTGCCGCGGGATCTTTAATGTTCACCTGAACAGGCAGACGGGACCTCGGGTTTAATGTATCATTTGTAGGACGGCACCTCCCGCAATGATGCAGTGCTTTCCCCCCCCCTCCCCAGCCATCACTGTGTTGGAGTGTCAGCTTAGATAGACTGTGATTCCAAACCTCCAATGTAGGGTCTTGAACTCCCAACCTTCTGACTCAGAAGTGAGAGAGCTACTGACTGAGCCAGTCTGACTTGCGACTTCACACCCTCATTCAATTTACTGCTGCTCTGAATTATTCTACAAGATACGATGAGGCTTCTTGAAGCAGCTAATCATGTTGATACATCTCAAAGTATCTGGCATTAGTCATCGACATCAAAATAACCCTTGGATTTGATATTGGGCTTTATCACGTAGTCGAGATCTCTAGTGTAATAATCCCAACGGGAGAAATCGCTTCTCTTTACCAGTTGGATCATGGGACTGGATTTACATCCACCCGAACAGGCGGCCAGGACAGTGACTTAGTGATGGACAGGACCTCTCAACAGTGCAGCACAGGGATGTCAGCCTCGACACTGAGCTCAAGCCCTATTGTAGAGGCTTACACACCCCCCCCCCCCCCCCCACATACACACACACATAATCTTCTGTCGCACAGGCGAGGGTTCGACAACAACAGCAGCAACTTGCATTTATATAGCGCCCTTCACTTGCGCTGCCCCCTGAACTGAGGTGATGTGACACAAAGCTTCCTTATCATGTAGTGTGATACAGCACAGAAATGCTTCTAATTCACATTCAGATACAATCCTGAGGTGATGGTTTGCAGGATTCCATCTAAAATGAAAATCTAAGCGTAAATTAATTTGTACATTGTCCTATTCCTGTCTCACTCGCACTCTCTCTCCCTCTCTCTCTCTCTCTCTCTCTCTCTGTCTCTCCCTGTCTCTGGTATTTCCGGTAAACCCTGTAAACATTTAATTCTGTAAATCATTGTCTGTTCCTTCTCGCTGTGCAGTAACTATTTGCAGCCCAGAGCTATGCAGTTCTTTGAGATATTTCAATGTACTTTGGTCCCAGTGAGTTTAGGAGCTATTAGGGGATATTTAGGGGATGGAATGTTGAGACCAGGACAGCTTCAAGAAACTTATTGATTTAAGTCAGCATCCGGGAATAGTCATTGTAGTTTTAACTCTGTCAAAGCCACAGGCTGGCAGCACAGTTTAACACCATCACTTAGCTGGAACCTGTCCAATTTGGTTTGCTATAATAATAATAATCCTTGCGTTTGATACAGCGCCTTATCATATCATTGAGACGTCTCAAATTACTTCACAGGATATACTGTAAAGTGTATTTTGTTGGTGAACTTGGCAGCCAATTTGCACACAGCAGTGTCTCACAAACAGCCATGGAGTGAGTGACCAGTATTATCTGGGGATTGTTGACCAGGACATAGAGAGAGAGAAAAACTCCCTTCTCTTTGCCGCGGGACCTTTAATGTGCACCTGAACAGGCAGACGGGACTTTGGTTTATCGTCTCATCTGAAGGACGGTTGTTGGCTGTGCATTAGAGAAACTGAGAAATAAAGAGAGGAAGGAAGAACTTTATTACACCTTCTACAACAGAAGGGAGTTTCTCCCAGTGACCTGACCAACAATCCACCAAATAAAATTGGTCATTAATGGCTATTTGTGAGATCACTCAGTGAGCCAAATGGCTATTGCATTTGCCTACAAATTCACTAGCCAGCAATCCAGTACTGGGCTGGGGCAGCGCTACACTGTCAGAGGTGCCGTCCTTCTGATGAGACATTAAATCGAGTTGCAGACTGTGCCTGTTCACGGATGATAAAGATCCAATGGCACAATTTCAGAAAGATAAGGGAGTTTCTCTCTAAATTGGCTGCTACAAAACACATACACTACACGTTATGGTGTGTCCTGTGAAGCACTTTGGGACGTCCTCCCAATGTGAAAGTTATATTAAACGGAAGGATTATTAAATCCCTGTGAGGTGCTTTAATTGGAGCAATGATTTTTTTCCATTGGAACAAAGCACGTTGAGGGGTGATCTGATAGAAGTCTTTAAACTGATGAGGGATTTTGATAGAGTCAATAGGGAGACATTATTTCCACTAGTCGATGAGTTTCCAGAGGCATCAATTAAGATACTGTAGTGAGTAAACAAGCAAATATCACACACACAGTGGTTAGGTTATGGAATGTCTTGCCGGGAGCAGTGATTGACCAGAATCCGAATTTGGTTCAAGAGGAACATAGATTGTCACCTTAAAAAGAGTCAGCTACAGGGAGTGGGGAAAGGGCAGGTACGTGGGACTGAAAGGAATGTTCTCGAGGGAGACGTGTATATTTCTGTGGTTCTGAGACCATTCAGCAATATAATGGTTGCTCTTGGTATCTGAAGGGTGTGTTTAGGGTAGAGGCTGCTGCCCAAACAGTAACCACACTCACAGGTACCAATTGATAACCTGTAACCTGGTGTCTAGGAATATCCCAGAACACTAGACCACTTGCTAACCACACCGGCAGAAACCAGTTCCCTCAGAAAGTGATCCACCAATCGACTACTTACTGCTGGGTAAACAGAGGTGTGTGGAGTAAGGAAACTTGTCTAAGGTTTTGTCCTGCCCGGGAATCGAACCCGGGTCCTCTCACTTGAGAGGTGAGTGCTCCAGCCAACTACAGAACTGCATTCAACAATATAGGTAGTGTACAAAAGGCAAGAATCTGCCTTTATTGTCACAGTTTTAATAATAATAATCCTTGTATTTGATACAGCGTCTTATCACGTCTTCAAGACATCTCAAAGCGCTTCACAGAATATACCGTAAAGTGGATTGACTGTTGTGGAAGAAACATGGCAGCCAATTGCGCACAGCAGCGTCCCAAAAACAGTCGTGGATTGACTGACCCAATTTTTTATACGGGATTATTACCCCCGTAAAAACGATCCGCCAATCGACTAACTGTGTCCTATTAACTGCTCATAAACAGAGGTTTTGACATTTTATCTTGTTTCTCTCACTGTAGGACAGCCTGGGCGGCAACAGTAAGACAGCGATGATCGCCACAGTCAGCCCTTCCGCAGACAATTACGATGAGACGCTGTCCACGCTGCGCTATGCGGACAGAGCCAAAAACATCATCAACCACGCCGTGGTGAACGAGGATCCCAACGCCACCATCATCAGGGAGCTCCGTGAGGAGGTGGAGAAACTGCGGGAACAGCTGACCAGAGCTGAGGTACAGTGAGCGTCTCACAGTGTCCTGGCCAACACTGAGCAACTACCTCCCCGACCTCCTTATTCCCCAGGGATTGAAGGGCATAAAATGACCAGGGCTTGTTAGGGTAGATGGAGAGGTTATTCCCATTAATGCAATGCTCCCTCCCTCCTTTCCCCCCTCTCTCTGTCTGTCTGTCTGTACTGCACTGTAATGTCAGCCCCAGACGAGGTTGTGGTGTGGAGCTCAAACTCACAATGAGTTTGGCTCGAGAGGCCAGAACGCTGCCCACTGAGCCCAGTGTGATGCTGGCTGCTATGTGGGGAATGTTTGAGATAGCAGTCTGTGTCTGGGAAAGACAGCATTGGCTCACTGTGTGCTGTGTGCCTTGGTGGGCTGTGACCTTCAAGCCAACAGATTAATAATCACAACATTGCTGGCAGTTCACTGCGAGAGATGACCGTGCTGTGAAGGGAGAGGCCACAGATTCTTTCACAAGAGAATTCAGTGCATGTCAGGGAGGTGGGAGACTAAAGGTTATATATAGTGAGCCAGTGAGAGAGTGAGTTACTAGATGGTTCATGTGGAGAAATAGAGCAGCACTGAGCTGATGGACCTCATGTCATGGCCTGTGTGTGCTGTGATGCTGCTTCTGTCAATAGCCATTGGACGTTCTATGCTGTAAAGTTCAGATTGATTGTATATTGTTAGGGACACTGCTGTGTGCAATTGGCCGCTGAGTTTCGCCTATAAAATACACACTCGCATTCTGTGATGTTATCCCTAAAATGTTATCCTCCCAAAACCCCTCAGGGTTTTATACAGTTCTATCAGATCCTTTTGTCAACCTTCTCCGCTCTAATGAAATGACGTTAAACCAAGGTCCCGTCTGTGCCTATCTGTACAGGTGGACATTAAAGATCTCACGGCCCTGTTCGAAAAGAGAAGAGAGTTTCTCCCAGATAAAACTGGTCATGGCTGTTTGGGGGACATTACAACACACAAATTGGCTGCTGCTATTGCCTACACAGTGTACACAGTCACTATACTTTAAAGAAAATTGTGTGAAGCAGTTTGAACCTTGGGTCATCCTCCCGATGTGAAAGGTGCTATAGAAATGTAATTTTGTGTTGTATTGTCCCTCCTGCCATGAAGAGCCCTGCACCAAATGCAAGGATTATTATTATTATTGGAGTGGATGGGTTCCACGTCCTGACGTGAGGCTTGAGTTAGGCTAACACTAATAATAGTAATAATCCTTGCACTTGGTATCACCCCTTTCACTTCGGGACAACGTCCCAAAGCGCTTCACAGGGTTTACTCTAAAGTGTAGTGACTGTGTATTTTGTGGGCGAACGTGGCAGCCAATTTGAGCCCAGTAATGTCTCACAAACAGTGAGTGACCAATTGTATCTGAGGGATTGTCGGCCAGGACAGCGGCTTTTCGAATAGCACGGCGGGATCTTTAACATCCACCTGGACAGGCGGGACCTCGGTTTAACGTCTCATCTGAAGGCCGGATAAGACCACCGGAGGGTCTGGGTTTCTCTGTAACACACAGTGAGCTGCATCTCTTACTCCAGGTCAGATTAATGGGAAGTAACTGCTTGTGACCCAGTGTTTGGTTCCCTGTTGCCAGGCAATGAAAGCCCCTGAGCTGAATGATCGGCTGGAGGAGTCGGAGAAGCTGATTCAGGAGATGACGGTCACGTGGGAGCAGAAGCTGAGGAAGACCGAGGAGATCGCGCAGGTAGGTGGAGCTGAGCTGAACTGTAGCCATGTTAGCTTCTGTCCACAGGAGAACTGACTGTGAGACTGGTCACCACTTGGGGGTTAGGCTTCACCAACATAACATTGCCCAAGGCACAGACACTTGGCTATTACCATCAGGTGGAGGGGTGCAACATACTCTGTCCCCCCGACTAGACTAACAGTACTCCAGGTGTGACCTGACCACATATTAATATCATATCAACCTATCCACTCCCTCCACTCGCCCCACAATTGGCAGTCAGACCTTCAGCCTCTCTTCCCCCACCCTCTGGAACTCCATCCCAAAGTCCCTTCGCTTCACCTCCTCGCTTGTCTCCTTCAAGGCGTGTCTCAAGACCTTCCCCTTCACCACCCTTCTACCCCGACCCTCACTGTCCTCCACCCTCCCTGATCCCAACCCGCTCCTCTGGGGCAAACCCTTCACTGTCCAGCGCCTTGGGATGTCCTCTCGACATTGAAATGTAATTTGTTTTAATTTCAGTGACTGATGTTAAGGTGTAAGATCACTGTGACATTGTAAAGGGAAAGTGCTGCTATGATGAGTGTCTGTTTGAACGCTGTGCCCTCCACACCCACAGGAACGGCAGAGACAGCTCGAGAGCCTCGGGATCTCTCTCCAGTCCTCGGGAATCAAGGTGGGAGATGACAAGTGTTTCCTGGTGAATCTGAATGCCGATCCGGCCCTGAACGAGCTGCTGGTTTACTATCTGAAGGTAATGGTTACTGATGAATGATCACAGTCCTCACTGCCCCCCTCAACCAACCCGGTTTTTACCCTCCTTAATGTTGGACCCCAAATCAAACCTGTGTAACAGCAACAGTCACCCTCAGAGACCGGGCTTGCGGCTTAGTTTTCTGGGGAGGGAGGGGAGCGGAGGGAGGGAGTGTGCTTTTCATTTTGATTTCTTTAAAAAAAATTAGTCATCAATCCAGGACTGTTTGTAGGATGCTGCTGTGTGCGATTGGCTGCTGTGTTTATCCAAAATACACAGTCAATTCACTTTAGAGTATATACGTGGAGTCCTGTAGCCTAACGGCTAGTAAGCTCGCCCCGCAAGCGAGAGACCTGGGTTCGATTCCAGAGCAGGGCAAAATGTTGGACAAGTTTCCTTACTCCACACTCCTCTGTTTACCTAGAAATAAGTAGGAACCTGGGCGATTGGCGGATCGCTTAGTCAATTGTTAGTCGATTGGCGGATCGCTTTCCGGGGGTAATAATTCCTTAAAAAAAAAAAATTTTTATCACTCAATCCACGACTGTTTGTGGGACGCTGCTGTGTGCAATTGGCTGCTGTATTTCGCCCACAAAATATACAGTCAATTCTCTTTACAGTATATTCTGTGAAGCGCTTTTAGGCATCTCAACGCCATGATAAGGCGCTGTATCAAATGTGAGGATTATTACGCTTTTCCTGTTGTGGATGGTGACAGAATCACACGCTGGTCGGATCGGATGATTCCCAGGATATCCAGTTATGTGGAATGGGAATACTGCCTGCTCACTGCCTCATCGATATCTCTGCCGAGAGAACTGTCATCCTCACACCCAAGCCAAACTCCAGGTGAGGGGCTGTCAGTGGAAACTCACAGGGGAGAAATTCTCCTTCAATGTCCACACTCTCCCTCTTTTTCTGACCTCGCTCTGCTCTGCTCTCTGACATATCTCTCTCTCTACTGCCCTCCAACTCTCTTATCTCTGTCTCGTCCTCTCTCTCTGCCGTCTCTCCCCCCACCCACCACACCCCCCAACTCTCTCTTTCTGCCCCCTCTCTCTGACTGACTCTCCCCTCTCTGCAGCAGGACATTCCTGCTATCTGGAAATCGCAACTGGTGACAGAGAATCTAAAACATGAGCCACTAAATCCACATCCCTGTTTACACAACAAATTACATTTGCACGGCGCCTTTCATGTCGGGAGGACGTCCCAAAGTGCTGGACAGTCAGGGATTTGGACCCGATCTTCGGGTTGGGATCAGGAGGAATGAGAGGGCAGGGGAGGTAGGAGGTGACCTAAGGCGCGACCGAAGATGAAGGTCTGCCTTAAAGGAGGCGAGGGAGCAAGCGAGGCGAAGAGACTGGGATGGAGTTTCAAAGGGTGGGGGCAGAAACCCCGTCCGCTGATGGTGACACGGCCTTCGTAAGATCAACTATTAAAGGACGGTAAAAGGACCCGTAGCTAAAAGTTTGGCCCTGACTTGATGATGCTGTGTTTCCCAGACTCAGGGCCAGTGAGGTGATTGTGAATGAATGTGTTGGCTCCTCCTGTGCTGTGTGTGTGTTAAACCTGTTGTTTTCTCCCCAGGACCTTTGTGAACGGCTGTATGGTGACCAGCCCAGTCCAGCTGCACCACGGTGACCGCATCCTCTGGGGGAACAACCACTTCTTCAGGTAAAGGTTCCTGCACGAACAGCATCAGTAGTAACGATAGTAACAGATACAGAGAAAAGGAACCCAGTCATTAATTATCCCTTGTGATGAGCTGAGGCTTGTTGGAGTCCTGTAGCCCAGTGGTTACAGCCCTCGCCTCGCTAGTGAGAGGTCCTGGGTTTGATTCCTGGGCAGGACGAACCTTAGGCAAGTTTTCTTACTCCACACGTCTCTGTTTACCAGCAGTCAGTAGGAACCCGGTTGTTAGTCGATTGGCGGATCATTTTTCGGGGGTAATAATACTTTTTAAAAAAAATTGTTCACTCTATCCATGACTGTTTGTGGGACACTGCTGCCACGTTTCGCCCACAAAATATACAGTCATTTAACTTTACAATATATTCTATGAGGCACTGTATCAAGCGTAAGGATTATTATGATATATACCTGAGTTGAGACCTATTGGGATGTGAGTTGAGGCCTGTTGACCCCGCTCAGTGTACAGTAATTGTTCCCCTGTCTCCCTCTTTCAATAGAATTAATTTGCCAAAGGCCAGAGTGCGAAGGGGCTGTGAGGAGGGGGAGAGGGACAATGTGATGAAGCTCAGTAACAGCAGTGAGCAGTTGGATGTGGACGGGGACACCACCAGCGAGGCTTCCAGTGACATCAGCTACAACTATGAGTTTGCCCAGATGGAGGTCACCATGAAGGCTCTGGGGAACAATGGTACAGAAACCTTTCCTTTAGTTATTATTACTATTCCGCCCCGTTCTCCGGTTCTCCCAGAGCCACACCCTCCCTCACTCCGTCCTTCCTTCCAACTCACTCGCTTCCTTGCTTTCTTTGAGGTCGGTCTCGAGACCTACCTCTCTGACCATGCTTTCAGTCATCTCTCCCCTCCCAGCCCCCTAAACTCAGCAATAAGAAGCAATTAACTCGGGCGTTGTGTTGCCTGGGTCTTGTGTAACAGCCCAAACTCTTGGAATTGCGATCCTCATCTCTCGGCTTGACTACTCCAATGCCCTCCTCGCCAGTCTCCTCAGCTCCACTATCCGCAAACTGCAGCTAGTTGAGAACTCAACTGAAGAAATAGAGGGACCTGGGAGGTCATACAACTAGATCTTTGAAGACAGTACAAGTAGATAAAGCTGTTAAAAAAGCATAACGGAATACAAGGCTTTATAAATAGTGGCATAGAATACAAACGTTAGGAAGTTATGATGAACCTTTATAAAACACTGGTTAGGCCTCAGCTACAGACTGTGTTCAGTTCTGGGCCCCACACTTTAGGAAGGATGTTCTGTAGCTCAGTGGTTAGAGCACTCGCCTTGCAAGTGAGACGCTTGGGTTCAATTCCAGGCAGGGGGAAACCTTGGGCAAGTTTCCTCACTCTACACAGAGCCTAATAATAATCCCTCCAAAACAAAACAATAATAAATGGGTCATTTTCAATCTACGACTGTTTGTGGGACATTGCTGTGCGCAATTGGCTGCCGCGTTCGCCCACAAATATACAGTCAATTCACTTTACAGTCTATTCTGTGAAGGCTTTGAGATGTTGAGAAGACGTGAAAAGCGCTATATCAAATGCAAGGATTATTATTATTATGTCAAGGCATTGGAGAGGGTGCAAAGGAGATTGACCAGATGGTCACAGGAACGAGGGACTTCAGTTATCAGGAAAGACTAGAGAAGCGAGGATTATTCTCCTTGGAGCAGAGAAGGTTAAGAGGAGACTTAATGGAAGATTTCAGAATTATGAGGGGATTCGATAGGGTGAATAAGGAGAAACTATTTCCACTGGAGGGTGGGTCGATAAACCGAGGACACCGAATTAAAATAGTTGTTGAAAGAATCGGAGGTGGGGAGGAGAAATATTTTCACACAACGAGTTGTTTGGATCTGGAATGCAGAGCCTGAATTGGTGGTGGAAACCAATTCGATAATAATAACTTTTACGAGAGAAGTGGATAATTATTTGGGGAGGACAAGTTTACAAGGCTATACGGTTAGTGCAGGGGGAGTGGGGTTGATTTCGATAGGTCTTTTCAAAGAGCCGTCACAGACATGATGGGCCGAATGGCCTCCTTCTGTGCTGTACAATTCTAGGATGACTCCTCCTCCAGTACTTTCACCCACACTAAACTCTGAACCCCATCACACCAATCCTCACTAGGCTCCACTAGCTCCCTATCACAGAACATCTCCAAATCAGTTCGCGCCTTGGCACTTCCCCACAACTCCACTACCAGCGTCTTACCCACCCCTTCACTTACCCGGCTCCAGCCTCCTACACGTACCCTCGTGCTCTCCGTTCCACCATCGGCGGCCACGCTTTCAGCCATTACACCCCAAGAATTGTATCACTGCCTCCCTCAATCTCTCTGCCTTCCCCCTTCCTTCCCCATCTTCAGATCGCACCTGAAGACCTTCCTCGTCAACCCCAACCACGGGGTCCCACGGTCAGCTCCTCCCTCCTCCCGGCTCCGCCAGTGCTCCGCCACTGTTAAGCTCTCTGGGACCTTACACTGCATGAGGGGACTGTGTCAATGCAAGTTGTTGTTGTGTTGGTATCTGTGCTCAGTGTATAGTGTGTGTGTTGGTGGCTGTGCTCAGTGTATAGTGTGTGTGTTGGTGGCTGTGCTCAGTGTATAGTGTGTGTGTTGGTGGCTGTGCTCAGTGTATAGTGTGTGTGTTGGTGGCTGTGCTCAGTGTATAGTGTGTGTGTTGGTGGCTGTGCTCAGTGTATAGTGTGTGTGTTGGTGGCTGTGCTCAGTGTATAGTGTGTGTGTTGGTGGCTGTGCTCAGTGTATAGTGTGTGTGTTGGTGGCTGTGCTCGGTGTATAGTGTGTGTGTTGGTGGCTGTGCTCAGTGTATAGTGTGTGTGTTCGTGGCTGTGCTCAGTGTATAGTGTGTGTTGGTGGCTGTGCTCAGTGTATAGTGTGTGTCTGTCTCAGGGCCGATGCAGTCGGTGTTGCAGAGCCTGGAGCGTCAGCACGAGGAGGAGAAGCGCTCAGCGCTGGAGAAGCAGAGACTGAGGTACGAGCAGGAGCTACAGCAGCTCCGTCGCCGTCTGTCCCCGGAGAAACCCAGCCGCAGCCTGGAGCGTCTGTCTCTCGCCTCCCCCACCTCCCAGCACAGGCTCTGTCAGTGGACAGAGGAGAGGTGAGCCTGCGGGGCAATGGGTCTCTGTCCATCCATCCATCTGCTCTCTGTCTGCCTGTCTGTGTCTCTCTGTCTGTCTTATCTGTCTTGTCTGTGTCTCTCTGTCTGTCTGTCTTGTCTGTCTTGTCTGTGTCTGTCTGTCTGTCTGTGCGTCTGTCTGTGCGTCTATCTGTGTGAGTGTGTGTCTGTCTATCTGTGTGTGCAGAATGATAGAGTTGTGCAGCATCGAAGGAGGCCTTCATCTGTCTCTGTAACAAGAACAAAATTACATTAGTGAAGAGTCTTTCACATCGAGAGGACATCCCAAGGCGCTGGACAATTAGTGTTTCGGACCCGACCTAGTGGTCGGGATCGGGGAGGGTGGAGGGCAAGGAGGGAAGGAGAGTGATCAAAAGCACGGTCGAAGAGGATGGTATTGAAGGAGTCAAGAGAGGAGGTGGCGGAAGGACTGCGGGATGGAGTTCCAGAAGGTGGGGGCTGAGTGGCAGAAGGCACGCCTGCCAGTGGTGGGGCGGGCGAGACGGGGGAACGTGAAGCAGGCCGGAGCCCACTGAGCTGAGGGAGCAAACAGGGTGTTAGGGTGTTAGGAGGTCGCAGAGGTCAGGGGGAGCAAGACCATGGAGGGCTTTGAAGGTGAGGACCAGGATCTTGAACTGTATCCTCTGTGTGATGGGAAGCCGGTGGAGTCGGATGAGGATGGGGGTGAGAGGGTCACGGAGCCTGGTGCGGGAGAGGACATGGGCTATAGAGTTCTGGATGATCTGCAGCCTGTGGAGGGAGGAGTTGGGGAGGCCGACATGCAAGGAATTTGCATAGTCGAGCCTTGATGTTATGAATGCGTGTATGAGGGTTTTGGCGGTCTGCGGTGCGAGACAGTGGCAGAACCGGCGATGTTGCGGAGGTGGGGGAAGGCAGAGTGGGTCATGGCACAGATGTGGGGTTAAAAAGGATAGATGAGGGTCAAACAAGAAGCCAAGGTTCCGGACTGGCTCAGCGAGGTAGAGTGGGCATCCATGGATGGTGATAGAGTGGGCATCTGTGGGGGTGCACCTGAGGTGAGGAGGCACTGACGGAAGCAAATCAGGATATACTTCTATTTTCTCTAGTCTTACTCCCCTAGGTGTGCCTCTGCATGTATACACACACACGTGTATATGTGTGTGTTATGTGTATATGCATGCATATGTGTGTGTTAAAAAAAATCCTGACTTCTCCTATTTTTTGGTACTGATCTGAAATTGGTGGCTTCCAGTCACTGACTCACTGACCAGTGGAAAGAGTTTTTATCTATTTACTACCAACATTTTGACCAATAATAATAATAATAATAATAATCCTTACATTTGATATAGCGCTTTTCACGTCGGGAGGACGTCCCAAAGCGCTTCACAGGATATACTGTAAAGTAAATTGACTGTATATTTGTGGGCGAAACGCGGCAGCCAATTGCGCACAGCAATGTCCCACAAACAGTCGTAGATTGAAAATGACCAATTTATTATTGTTTTTTCTTGAGGAATTATTATTAGGTGTGTGGACTAAGGAAACTTGCCCAAGGTTTCGCCCTGACCTGCCTAGAATTGAACCCAGGTGTCTCGCTTGCTCTAACCACTGAGCTTTAGGACTCCACATCTGCCGGGTAGTTTTGAAAGAATGTGTGTAACTGTGTGTGTGGTGTTGTTCATCTGTGTGTAACTGTAAGTGTGCGTGTGTACAAGTGTGTATAATTGTATAACTGTGTGTGTGTGTTCACGTGTGTGTAACTGTGGTGTGATGTTGTACCAGGGAGGCAATGCTCCACCACAGCCTGATGAAGCTGAGAGAGCAGATCGCTAAAGCCAACCTCTCTGTCCGTGAGGCTAACTTCATTGCTGAGGAGATGGAGAAGAAGACGGAATATCAGGTGACGCTGCAGATACCAACCTCCAGCCTGGACGCTAACCAGAAGGTGAGGGTCTCCCCCAGCCTTGCCTGTCAGGTCAAAGCCTCCATGTGCTGAAACCCACCAGCTCCTGCCTCTGAGCCAGAGTGTGACTGGCTGTCTGAGCCAGACTATCAGTGTGTGACTGACAGACTGAGCCAGACTATCAGTGTGTGACTGACAGACTCAGCCAGACTATCAGTGTGTGACTGACAGACTCAGCCAGACTATCAGTGTGTGATTGACAGACTCAGCCAGACTATCAGTGTGTGACTGACTGAGCCAGACTATCAGTGTGTAACTGACTGAGCCAGACTATCAGTGTGACTGACAGACTCAGCCAGACTATCAGTGTGTGACTGACTGAGCCAGACTATCAGTGTGTGACTGACAGACTGAGCCAGACTATCAGTGTGTGACTGACAGACTCAGCCAGACTATCAGTGTGTGACTGACAGACTGAGCCAGACTATCAGTGTGTGACTGACAGAATCAGCCAGACTATCAGTGTGTGATTGACAGACTGAGCCAGACTATCAATGTGTGACTGACAGACTGAGCCAGACTATCAGTGTGTGACTGACAGACTCAGCCAGACTATCAGTGTGTGACTGACAGACTCAGCCAGACTATCAGTGTGTGACTGACAGACTCAGCCAGACTATCAGTGTGTGACTGACAGACTCAGCCAGACTATCAGTGTGTGACTGACAGACTCAGCCAGACTATCAGTGTGACTGACAGACTCAGCCAGACTATCAGTGTGTAACTGACTGAGCCAGACTATCAGTGTGTGACTTACTGAGCCAGACTATCAATGTGTGATTGACAGTCTGAGCCAGACTATCAGTGTGTGACTGACAGACTCAGCCAGACTATCAGTGTGTGACTGACAGACTCAGCCAGACTATCAGTGTGTAACTGACTGAGCCAGACTATCAGTGTGACTGACAGACTGAGCCAGACTATCAGTGTGACTGACAGACTGAGCCAGACTATCAGTGTGACTGACAGACTGAGCCAGACTATCAGTGTGTGACTGACTGAGCCAGACTATCAGTGTGTGACTGACTGAGCCAGACTATCAGTGTGTGACTGACTGAGCCAGACTATCAGTGTGTGACTGACTGAGCCAGACTATCAGTGTGTGACTGACTGAAACAGACTATTAATTGAGTGAACATTGTTATCTTGAGGTTGCGGAAGAGAGGAACATGTGTTTCCGTGCCTGCAGTGGGGCTCCTGAACATACAAACACAACTCAACAGGGGCTCAAGATCCTCATTCTCACCTTTACATCTGTCCACAGACTCTCCACCGTAGCTCTGTGACCTCCTCAAACCCTACTGACCCGATCCCTTCACATCCGCTCAGCGGGCATCAGCCTGCTTCACGTCCCCCATCTTACCCGCCTCACCATCGTCAGCCGATCTGCCCCTACTATCTGGAACCACATCCCAAATCCACGCTGACTCGCTCCCTCTTTCCTCTTTCAAGGCCCACCTGAAGACTTAGCTCTTTGACCGGCTTAAGGTCACCTCACACCCTCCCCCACCCCCTCAGCTTCAGCTCGGGTTCCCAGCCATTGAGATGTCCTCCTGCTGTGAAAGATGCTATTGGAAATGTAAATGTGTATTGTATCTTTCACTTTGGAGAGGGGATTTAGTCTGAGACACTAACCTGTGTGAAGGGAGCTTAGAAATCCAAGTTGTTGTTGTTGATTAACTGTAAAGTGTAGTGACTGTGTACTCTGTAGGCAAACGTACCAGGCAATTTAGACTTTGAAGTCAGAGTCTGAGCTGATGCTCCAGTGCAGGGCTGAGGGGGTGATGCTTTGTCAGAGGTCCTGTCTGTCTGTTCAGGTGGATGTTACTGTTGGAAAACAGAAGGGAGTTTCTCTCTCCTGGTGTCCTGGACAACAATCCCCCAAATAAAATTGGTTGCTCCCTCCATGGCTGTTTGTGGGACTTTGTGCGCCTCGGGACGTCCTCCTGATGTGAAAGGCAATATATATAAATGCAATTTGTTGTTGTTTGGTGTACGCACACTAGCTGCCGCAAAATACACAGACAATTCACTTCACAGTATTTCCTGTGAAGCGCTTTGAGACGCCTTGAAGACGCAGTAAGGCGCTGTATTAAATGTAAGGATTATTATTAATTGTGTCTCTTTCTCTCTGTTGTGTGAATTCCCCCCCACCCCCACAGCGTGATGCTGTCCTGAGTGAACCTGCTGTCCAAGTGCGTCGGAAAGGGAAAGGCAAACAGATCTGGTCACTGGAGAAGCTGGAGAACCGGCTGATTGACATCCGTGAGCTGTACCAGGAGTGGAAAGACTGTGACGAGGACAGCCCTGTGAGTAGGCCACAGAGTAGGACAGAGAGAGCTTGATTTTAGTGCCCACACGTTTGACAGCCACCCTGTCCTGGCTGACATTCCCTAAATAAAATCAGACGCTCACTCCGTGGCTGTTTGCAAGACGTCGCTGTGCACACATTGTTCCCCAACAAACCATACAATCACTGCATGGAGTCCTGCAGCACAATGTTAACACACTCGTCTCGCAAGTTTAGGCAAGTTTCCTTACTCCACGCGCCTCTGTTCACATGGTGGTAAGTAGGAACCTGGTTGTTAGTCAATTGGCGGTTCGCTTTCGGGGGTAATGATCCCTCAATTAAAAATGTGGTCACTCAATCCACGAGTGTTTGCGGGACACTGCTGTACACAATTGGCTGCCGCATTTGCCTACAAAACCCACAGTCACTACACTTTACAGTATACTGTGAAGCACGTGGAGACGTCTCAATGACCCTGATAAGCTGCTGAATCAGATACTAGGTTTTTTATTATTACTTTATAGTAAATCCTGTGAAGTGCTTTGAGATGGCCGCCAGGTGTGAAAGGCGCGGTCAGCAAATGGAGGCGTTGTCGTCTAGTGTTGTCGTCTAGACGTTGTGCACCTCTCTCTCTTACAGATGATGCCCTATTTCAAGCGGGCTGACCCTTTCTTTGACGAGCAGGAGAACCACAGCCTGATCGGTGTGGCTAACGTTTTCCTGGAGCTTCTGTTTCATGATGTGAAGTTGCAGTACGCAGTACCCATCATCAACCAAAAGGGGGAGGTACGTCCACACGAAGCGCTTGTCCTGTAATCGTCCTCCCACCAACCCTGAAGGCAGATGTCCTGCCAGACCTGAGGAGGCTTTGGGGCGACAGCTCCTGGAGGGCTTTACTCGGAGTCTGAGTTTGTGACACACAGTCATACATCCAGCGCCTGGAACCCACCTTGATTGGCTGCAGAGAGCTGCTGCCTAAACTCCGCACACCCAACTGTGTGCCTGATGCGGACAGGGAGATGGTGCCAATGCTCTCACGCATTTCATGCTGAGCTGTGTTGCCCACCAGGCAGCTGACAGGGAGTTCCTGGCACCTGCCATCCACCTACTGAGGATCAAACGCACACTTGTTGGGTGTCAAATGACCAACTAGTGACTGTCCTACTAGTGGGGAGGTAAGCGAGGTCCCCTTGGAGATAAAGTGCTTCCAAGGTGACACGTTTAGCTCGGAATCGAGCCAGCCCTCTGTGGCAGTCTCGATAGTCAGTCCCTGAGACAGGCAGGTCCACAGTATTCCAGGGCAATGCTGATAGCCCAGCCTGGCTCGTCAACAGGACCTGGAAGGGCAGAGCAGTCACTGGGGTCAGGGAGTCATCTCACTCAGATCCCGTTAACCCTGCAAAGCCCTAATGGGTAGTGTGACTGGGAGAGATTTGAGACTGGATGTTTAAGCACTTGCACTTGCTCCCGTTGGCTCAGTGACTGACTGGCCTCCCGGTGTGAGAGGTGGTGTATAAGGCTGTTTGTGCTGATCGGTGGCAGGTGGCAGGCCGCCTGCACGTGGAGGTAGTGCGGCTCAGCGGGGAGCTCAGCGATCACGTCGCTGGGGGAGACGAGGGGCCCGAGGGGCTGAGTGACAGCGAGACACAGGACAGAGAAACCTCACGCAAACTGGTCTGCAGGGTAAGTGCTCCTCACTCCTGTTCTTTACTCCTTACTCCAGCTCCTCACTCCTGTCCCCACTTCTCCACCCGCTACCTTCACTCACCCAGCTCCGGCCTCCAACACATCCCTCGTCCCCTCGTCAGCCATTCTTTCAGACACTACACCCCCCGAGTCTCTGGAACTCTCTCCCTCAATCTCTCCACCTTGCCCTCTCTGTCTTATGCCTTCAGCTCCCCTCTCGACTCTCTACCCCCTCCTCGCTCCCTCCCTTCCCTCCCCTCACCCTGACAATTTCCCCCCCTGCTCAGGTCCTGACCCAAGTGTACAGCGCCTTGGGACGTCTTCCCGACGTGAAAGGCGCTCTATAAATGGAATCTTGTTGTTTTGTTGTTGTCCATCTTCAGATCGCGCCTGTAGACACTTTGACAGTTCCTATGATTACCTCCCACCAGCTCAGCGCTCCAAGACATTACATATATAAATATAATATAAATAATATTTAAATACAATATAATATAAATATTCGATAAATGTAATATATTTCCTGCTGTGAAAGGTGTTATGTAAACTTTGAAGTTAAAAATATTATATAAATTATATAATCTATTATATAAATGATATAAATACAAGTAATTCTGTCTGATTGTTTATCCTCAGGTGAAAATCCTCCAGGCTACAGGCCTGCCCAGACACCTGTCTAACTTTGTCTTCTGTCAGTACCTGTTCTGGGACCAGGCGGAGCCTGTGATGGTGGCTCCTGAGGTGGATCAGAACTTCTCCTCCTCCTCTCCCATCTGCAAATTGCCAGAGTCCATGGTCGTCTTCGACCACTGCAAAGTAAGTGCTTCACACAAGCTGTCAGCCAGCCTGGCTCAGTGGTAAGACTCTCAGTCAGAAGGCTGTGGGTTCAAGCCCCACCTCAGGACGTTGGACTCCCCAGTCTCTGCTGATACTCCAGTCCAGTGCAGGGCTGAGGAGAGCTGCATCGTCACAGGTGCCGTCCTTCGGGTGAGACGTTAAACCGAGGAGCAAGTACAAGGATTATCATTATAAAGCGTTGCAATAGAGCGGAGAGAGGAAAGGCTAATGGTTTAGTGGGGGGTGGGAGTCCTGATGGTCACGGGCAGAGCTGCAGGTTACAGACCAGGGGCTGTGAGACATCCTCCCAACATACAGTAGTTACTGTTATTGCTAACTCACGGAGGCCATCAAGAGGCAGACAACTGTTATTACCTCTCAATTTACAAAGGTTTACAAATCTACACCACCCTCCGTGTGAAGTAGGTGCTCCTAAATTCTCTCTTCCTTGTCGCTAGCTTATACTTGTGTCCTGGACTCTGCTGGTTCCATTAAGTGTCAGCCTGGCTCAGTGGTATCGCTCTCGTCCCTGAGTCAGAAGGTTGTGGGTTCAAGCTCCAAGTCGGGACTTGGAATCATGGTCTAAGCTGACAGCGCAGTGCTGGGGGGTGTGGGATTGTTGGAGCTGCTGCTCTTGGGTTGAGACATTAAACCAAGTTTTATGGTCAGGTGGTCGTTAAATATCCCGCAGCAATATTCAAAGAGAAGGGAATTTCTCTCTCCTGGTATCTTGGCCAAAAATCCTCCAAATACAATTGGTCACTCACTGACATATTTCCTGACATTACGATTATTATTATCTTCGGTTCAGGAATTCTCTGTGAATCTTTCGGAAGACCTTCTGGAGTATCTGTCGGAAGGAGCCCTGGCGATCCAGGTTTACGGCCACAAAACATACGACCCACGAAAGAACGCCTCGATATGGGACCTGGGAATGATCCAGGCCAAGACCCGCTCACTGCGCGACAGGTACGTGTGTGTGTGTGTGTGTGGGCGTCCAGGAGGCTTGCTGTCCCAGGGAGGAGCTCCCTGAACTGGCGAAGAAAATATACACTGTTGTTTTATTTTAATCAAATTACTGAGTGAATGTTCAGTAATTAGTCTTGGGGGGGAGGGGGGAGAGAATTTTGGATGATACCAGGGATTAAAGGGGAGTTTCAAAGCAATACTTGATTTAATAATAATCATTGCATTTGATACAGTGCCTTAGCACGTGGTTGAGACGTCTCGAAGCTCTGTCTGGCTGGTTAGTTTATCTATGTTTGACTGGTATGTTTCACCCCACCCCCCACGGGGCTCAGGTGGAGTGAGGTGATGCGGAAGGTGGAGCTGTGGGTACAGGTCCTAGAGCTGAACGAGACTGGAGAGTACGTTCCCACGGAGATGACACTTGGCAAGGACATCGCCACAGGTGGCGTCTTCCAGCTTCGCCAGGTAACGTGAGGGCCGAGATAACAGCATAACATATCCTCCCTCACGTCATCACACCACTGAGCCAGGCTGGGCTGTCACCAATAATAATCCTTACATTTGACTAACAACCGGGATCCTATTTACTGTTGGGTAAACAGAGGCGTGTGGAGTAAGGAAACTTACCTAAGGTTTCGCCCGGACCGGGAATCAAACCCGGGTCCTCTCGCTTGCGAGGCGAGGGCTCTAACCACTCAGCTACAGGACTCCATGAATGAAAATCCCTTGTTTTTTTGTTGTTGTACAGGGTCAGTCACGGCGGATCCAGGTGGAGGTGAAGTCGGTTCAGGACTCTGGGACTATGCCTCTGATTGTGGAGTCCGTGATGTCCATCGCTGTGGGCTGTGTCAAAACCAGACTCGCCAAGCCCCAGAGAGCTCCAGCCACCCACCCGGTGAGAGCTTCTTCATAGAGCACGGTGTTTATTGTTAATAATAATAATCCTTGCATTTGATACAGTGCCTTAACACTTCGTGACATCGTCTCAAATGCTTCACAAAATATACTGTAAAATAAAGACTGTGTATTTTGTGGGAGAAACACGGCAGCCAATTGCACAAAAGTAGTTAAGCAGCGAGAAAGCACAGTGTAAAATTGTTGGACAGAGTTATTCCGCAGCAGGTGTTTGCTTTTGTAATTAAAAACTTGCTTTGTATGCTCTCGTGTCTCTTCACGATTTCTAAACATTGCCTCTATTTTAAATCTAGGAGGACGAGGATGACATGGACAGTTACCAGGTACGGAGAGAGGCGAATTCTTCTTCATTTCTCTGTGTTTGCTTCCTTTTCCCCCCCATTTATTCCACACACAGTGTGGTGCAGTAGTAGACCCCTATATAACAGGAGCGTCTCACCTCGGAGTCGGAAGGTTCTGGGTTCAAGCCCCCACAGTCCAGGCTGACACTCCAGTACAGTGCTGGGGGAGCGCTATTGTTAGAGGTCCCGTCCTTCAGAAAAGATGTTAAACCGAGGTCCCATCAGTCCCTGTTCAGGTGGACATTAAAGATCCCAGGACAGTAATGGAAAAGAGAGGGGAATTTCTTGCAGCGTATGCATACAGGAAGTGATGTAGTGGTGACCAGCTGACCCAGATTTCATCCATTTTAGGATTCTCCCTGTGTCTCCGAGGGAGATATCTGGTTCTCTGCCACAGTGAATGCCGCTGTGATGTGCCCCATTGTAGTGTTGGTCGCCATTTTGTAAACGCCAACCACAGTCTTGTAGGATGGAAAGTTAAATATAATAATCGCTCAATTGATATAGCGCCTTTCATGTTGGGAGGACATCTCAAAGCGCTTGACTGTAACTGCGTATTTTGTGGGCAAAGTTGGCAGCCAACAATGTCCCACAAACAGCCGTGAAGTGAGTGACTGATTTACCTGAGGGGTTGTTGGTCAGGACACCAGGAAAGAGAAACTCCCTTCACTAGAGGCGCAGGATCTTTAACATGGTGGCTGATCTCTGTTTGGTTGTTGATCTCTGGCTGTTTGGTTGTTGATCGCTGGTTGTTTGGTTGTTGATCGCTGCTGTTTGGTTGTTGATCGCTGGCTGTTTGGTTGTTGATCGCTGCTGTTTGGTTGTTGATCACTGGCTGGTTGGTTGTTGATCGCTGGCTGTTTGGTTGTTGATCGCTGCTGTTTGGTTGTTGATCGCTGGCTGTTTGGTTGTTGATCGCTGGCTGTTTGGTTGTTGATCGCTGGCTGTTTGGTTGTTTGGTTGTTGATCGCTGGCTGTTTGGTTGTTTGGTTGTTGATCGGTGACTGTTTGGTTATTGATCGCTGGCTGTTTGGTTGTTGATCGCTGGCTGTTTGGTTGTTGATCGCTGGCTGTTTGGTTGTTGATCGCTGGCTGTTTGGTTGTTGATCGCTGCTGTTTGGTTGTTGATCGCTGGCTGTTTGGTTGTTGATCGCTGGCTGTTTGGTTGTTTGGTTGTTGATCGTGCTGTTTGGTTTTGATCGCTGGCTGTTTGGTTGTTGATCGCTGGCTGTTTGGTTGTTGATCGCTGGCTGTTTGGTTGTTGATCGCTGGCTGTTTGGTTGTTGATCTCTGGCTGTTTGGTTGTTGATCGCTGGCTGTTTGGTTGTTGATCGCTGGCTGTTTGGTTGTTGATCGCTGGCTGTTTGGTTGTTGATCGCTGGCTGTTTGGTTGTTGATCGCTGGCTGTTTGGTTGTTGATCGCTGGCTGTTTGGTTGTTGATCGCTGGCTGTTTGGTTGTTGATCGCTGGCTGTTTGGTTGTTTGGTTGTTGATCGCTGGCTGTTTGGTTGTTGATCGCTGGCTGTTTGGTTGTTGATCGTTGGTTGTTGATCGCTGGCTGTTTGGTTGTTGATCTCTGGCTGTTTGGTTGTTGATCGCTGGCTGTTTGGTTGTTGATCGCTGGCTGTTTGGTTGTTGATCGCTGGCTGTTTGGTTGTTGATCGCTGGCTGTTTGGTTGTTGATCGCTGGCTGTTTGGTTGTTGATCGCTGCTGTTTGGTTGTTGATCGCTGGCTGTTTGGTTGTTGATCGCTGCTGTTTGGTTGTTTGGTTGTTGATCTCTGGCTGTTTGGTTGTTGATCGCTGGCTGTTTGGTTGTTGATCGCTGGCTGTTTGGTTGTTGATCGCTGCTGTTTACACATTGCAGGAACGAGATTTGGAACGTCTGCGAAGGAAATGGCTGAACACATTAACAAAGCGTCAGGAATATCTGGATAAACAGCTCCAGAAACTCAACTCGAAACCCGGTGAGTGATACCAGGCACATGGCTCCACACACACTGCCAGCAGTGCCTGGAGCTCTGTGTATCAGTGCTGGATTGACTGAATGCTGTCCCTTTCAAGTTAATGCGAGGGTGACCGACACTGAGGCTGATCTGACACTGCAGGCCACATTGTGGAAGGGTTTACACCAGCCTTTATTTGGAAGCTGTGTGAGTGAGACACTATGTGTGATGCTGTGTATGTGACAGTGTGTGTGTGTGATGCTGTGTATGTGACAGTGTGTGCGCGTGATGCTGTCTGTGATACAGTGTCTAACAGTGAGTGTGTGTGACGCTGTGTATGTCACAGTGTGTATATAACAATGTGTGGGTGATGCTGTGTGTGTCGTGTGTGATGCTATATGTGTGTGACGCGGTATATATGACAACTTTTAATCTGTGTGTGAGACGCTATGTGGGTGTGGGTGTGAGATGCTGTGTGTGAGACGCTGTATGCATGTGTATGAGACCCTGTGTATGAGACCCTGTGCATGTGTGTGTATATGAAACGCTGTGTATGAGAAGGTGTGTGTGAGACGCTCTGTGTCTGGTAGATAAATCAGAGGACGAGGCTGACCGCGAGGCACAGTTGCTGGAGCGCCGCTTGACGCTGACGGAGGAGAGGAACGCGGTGATGGTACCCTCGGCCGGCAGTGGCATTCCGGGCTCCCCGGCTCGATGGTGAGTGAGGAAACCGGGAGCGGGCGGGAAACTGGGAACTGGAGAGAAAACACAACTTGTCATTGCCAGAGAGAGGTTCTGCTCTTACCTCCCTCCCCACCCGAGTCCACACATACAACACACACACGCACCACACACACACACCACACACACACACCACACATACACACCATACACACCACACATATCACACTACAAGGGGAGACATGAGCAGGCCGGTGCCTGCTGAGAGAAGGGAGTGGCTGGGTGGATGGGGTTGAGGAGGGCACAGAGTAGGGTGTAGCAAGATTTAAATGAGAGAGAACACAAGTCAGTCTGGCTCAGGCGAGAGCACTGTCACCTCTGAGTTCAAGCCCCACATCGAGACATGAACTCACAAAGCCTGAGCTGATGCTTCACTGCATTGCTGGGGGTGTGTTGATTGTCGGAGGTGCTGTCCTTCAGCTGAGACACTAAACCAAGGTCCAGTCTGTGCCTGTTAAGGTGGATGTTAAAGATCCCTCAAAAAAGAGAAGAGAGTTTCTCTCTCTGTCCCGGTGTCCTGGTTTATCCCCCAGATAAAATCAATCGCTCACTCCGTGGCTGTTTTGTAGTTCTTGTGTGCAACTGGGCTGCCACGATTCCCTACAAATTCACAGACACTACAGTTACACTTCACAGTAAACCCTGTGAAGCGCTTTGAGACGTCCTCCTGATGTGAAAGGCACTGGACCAAATGCAAGGATTGTTATTATTATTAATTACTTAATTATTGCCGCTTGCCAGCAGCCCCCGTTGACTTGTGTCTGTGTGTTACAGGAGTCCCGCCGCTGGCATGGAAACTCATGTTCCTGTTCTCTTCCTCGACCTCAGTGGTGAGAAATTTACTGTCTCTTGATCCTGGCTCAGTCGGTAGCTGTCTGGCCTCGGAAACAGGCGATTGTGGGTTTGAGCCCCACATCAGGCCCTTTGAACTCAGTCCATGTTGAGACTCCAGTAAAGCTCCCAAGGCACTATTCGAAAAGAGAAGGGATTTTCTCCCAGTGTCCTGGCTGAGAATTCCCCAAATAAAATTGTTTTTTTTGGGACTGTTGCAATGTGAGAATTGACTGCTATGTTTGCCCACACAGTCAAAACTTGTTAAGCTATTGGAATTCATAGAATCATAGAATATACAGCACAGAAGCAGACCAATCGGCCCATTGTGTCTGCTCCCGCTCTTTGAAAAGAGCTATCGAAATCAGTCCCACTCCCCTGCTCTCTCCCCATAGCCCTGCAAACTTGTCCTCCCCAAATAATTATCTACTCTCTTAAAAGTTGTTATCAAATCAGTTTCCCCCAGCCTTTCAGGCAATGCATTCCAGATCCCAACAACCTCACTTCCCCTCTGTTTCTTTTAACAACTATTTTAACTCAGTGTCCTCGGGTTATCGACCCACCGCCAGTGGAAATAGTTTCTCCTTATTCACCCTATCGAATCCCCTCGTAATTCTGAAAAGTTCCATTAAGTCTCCTCTTAACCTTCTCTGCTCCAAGGAGAATAATCCTCGCTTCTCTGGTCTTTCCTGATAACTGAAGTTCCTCATTCCTGGTACCATCCTGGTCAATCTCCTTTGCACTCTCTCCAATGCCTTGACATCCTTCCTAAAGTGTGGGGCCCAGAACTGAACACATTCTCTAGCTGAGGCCTAACCAAGTCCGGTCATTTATATAGATCAAAAACAGCAGTGGTCACTATACTGACCCCTGGAGGACCCACTGGCCATTTTCCTCCAGTCAGAAAATCAACTGTTCGCCGCTAGTCTCTGCTTTCTATCTCCCAGCCGGTTCTGTATCCGCTGCCACTGTCCCTTTAATATCGTGGGCTTCTATTTTGCTTACAAGTCTCTTATGTGGCACTTTATAAAACACCTTTGAGTGCAAAGGATCCTGTGTGGGGCTTGAACCCACAATCTGCACAATCTTGACAATGATACAGCTCTGGATCGTTTGTGAGGAATATCACATATTGTCGTTTCAATGTGGGGAGTGGGGCACATCTTAAGACAGGCAAGAATCTAATATATAAGATATAATATGTAAAGCTTCACATAATATACTGTAGAGTGAAATGAATTGACTAACTTTTGTCAACAAATTGCAGTCACATCACTTTACAGCATATTCTTTTGAAGCACTTTGAGACGTCTCAACAACGTGATAAGGCGCTGTATCAAACGTAAGGATTATTATTATGAAATAAGGTGGAGGGTTAGAGACGGGGCTTTCCAGAGATTCGAGTCGAAGCGGCTGAAAGCGCAACTGCCAATGGTGCAGCGCAGGGGATGGGATTCTACACGGGGTGGAGGGGATGTAGTTCGCTTCCTACATTTTCATGGCTGGGAACTACAGGGTGTTCACAAAGTTCTGTTACCCCCATGTTTTTTCCCTTCCCTACAGTGCACTGACCCAGCAACTGAAACATGGAAGATATTGTATATGGATATTGTATATTCATTGTATTCAGTACAAGTGGATGGGTGTGAGTGTGTGAGAGCGCCATCATTTTTATGGCCGGTAATGAGTTGGATTATTATGTCCAGTTCAGGGCATTGCCCTTTAGGAAGGATATCAAGGCCTTGGAGAAGCCACAGAGGAGATTTACCAGAATGGTCTGTGGGATGAGGGACTTCAGTTATGTGAAGAGACTAGAGAAGATGACATTGTTCTCTTTGGAGCAGAGACGGTTAAGAGGTGATTTAATAGAGATGTTGGAGTACAAAATTGATTGTTTTTGCTAACCTGCTGTATCTCCCCTCCTCTCCCCCCCCCCCCCCCCCAGAGGAATGTTTGAGCTCCCGGGAGGACTTGGACATGCCGGAGGCAGGGGGGCTGGACGCCACGCTGGCAGATGAAGATGCTGACGAGCTGTTTGAGCTGCAGATTGCAAAACGTCACGATCTGGAGGTGAGAGACCGTTCGGGGCCCTGCACACAGTCACCCCGGGACTTTGTTATTCTGGCCATGGGGTATCTGACACACGAGGAACCCCATCACCAGGCTTAAGAGTATCTAAACCACGCTGAGAATTCCACGCCTCCCACCTACACAGTTCAGCTCCTAGGAGACCCTGATTACTTCCCCCCTGAGGAGGAGAGTCAGCTCACTGAGCAGGTGGTTTAGCAGCCGGTAGCTTGGTGATATGGAAATGTATTAATCAATATAAACCGCAGGAAGGTGCGATTTCTGGAAGGATCAAATAGGCCTACAATAGCACCCCCCACCCCCCGCCCAGCTCTCATTGACCACTGACTCCTGTCCCCAGGTGAAAGCCGAGGCCTCCTGGGATGCCAACATCCATGAGAGTGGCTCGCTGAGCCGGGCCACACCCGCCGAGGAGAGGGTCTTCCTGATCGTGCGGACAATCTTACACCTCAGCCATCCCGCAGACATGCAGCTAGTGCTGCGTAAACGCATCTGTGTCCACGTCTACCAACGACAGGTAAGCTGTTCCACTGCCCCGTCTATCTCACTAACCTGTCTACCTGTCTGGGTAACCTCCCCCAATAACCTGTCTACCTGCCCAGGTAACCTCTCTCCCTCACTGACCTGGCTGCCTGCCCAGGTAACCTCTCTCCCTCACTGACCTGGCTGCCTGCCCAGGTAACCTCTCTCCCTCACTGACCTGGCTGCCTGCCCAGGTAACCTCTCTCCCTCACTGACCTGGCTGCCAGCCCAGGTAAGCCCGTCACCACTGATTGACGAGTCATATTTCCTGTTCCTGTTGCCTACAAACATGCACCAGTGGCCTAAAGCTACCTACAGTCACCTCATTAAGGGGAGCTGGGAGGGTTATACCCCGAGGAGGACTATAACCAGCCCTTCGAGCTGCCCGTACCCATGGGCCCTTCTTGCATCCATCCCAACTTGTCACCGGCACCTGCCCACTTCCAGTCCAGCAGCAGATGGACCTGGGAGTCAAACCAATGGCTCGCGGGTCTTAAAGGGGCCTCCTTTGTGATATATATTTTTCTCTAATTGAAGGGATTCGCACAAAGTTTCCTGAGAAGAATGTCACACAAAAGTGGCCTCAATACGTGTGGAGTGACGTTCGAGATCGTCTCCAACATCCCAGAGGTACGTGAAGTCTCACCTGGTCACAGAGATGGTCATGTTAATGGGCTTTAACACAGTCCAGCCTCACACTCCAGTTCACCCATCAGGTATGACATTAACTCAACGCCGCCCCGTCTGCCTGTTCAGATGGATGTTAAAGATCCTGTGATGCTATTTGATAAGAGAAGCGAGTTCCTCTCTCCCCGCTGTCCTGGCCAACAATCCCCAGATAAAACTGGTAGCTCACTTCATGACTATTTTTGGACATTGATTGGCTGCTGCATTTGCCTACAAATACACAGTCACTACACTTTACAGTAGTCCTGAGAAGTGCTTTGAGGTATTGTCCTGGCATAGCGCTGGATCAATTGACCAATTTTATTTGGAGGATTGTTGGCCAGGACACAGAGAGAGAGAAACTCTCTTTACAAATAGCGCCAGGAGATCTTTAACCTGAACAGACAGAAGGAACTTGGTTTAACGTCTCATCTGAAGGACAGCACCTCTGACAACACAGCGCTTCCCCAGACCTGCACTGGAGCGTTAGCTTAGACTATGTGATTTCAAGTCCCAATGTAGGGGCTTGAACCCACAAACTGACTCAGAGGCGAGAGAGATACCACTGAGCCAATTGGGGGAATAGAGGACAAAGCCTTAAATGTGACTGAAGCGAGAGAGCAAGTGACAGAGTCGGGCTGTCACACCACGGTGGGGAATAGGGGACAGATCCAGGCTGTCACACCACAGTGGGGAATAGGGGACAGATCCAGGCTGTCACACCACAGTGGGGAATAGGGGACAGAGTCGGGCTGTCACACCACGGTGGGGAATAGGGGACAGATCCAGGCTGTCACACCACAGTGGGGAATAGGGGACAGATCCAGGCTGTCACACCACAGTGGGGAATAGGGGACAGAGTCGGGCTGTCACACCACAGTGGGGAATAGAGGACAGAGTCAGGCTGTCACACCACGGTGGGGAATAGGGGACAGAGTCGGGCTGTCACACCACGGTGGGGAATAGGGGACAGAGTCGGGCTGTCACACCACGGTGGGGAATAGGGGACAGAGTCGGGCTGAGACACCACGGTGGGGAATAGGGGACAGAGCCAGGCTGACACACCACAGTGCAGGAAGCCAGGCTGACACACAGACCTGTTCTCTGGCTGTTCCTCAGGACGCCCATGGGTCGGAGGACCGGGATGCGCTGGCACGGATGGCCGCGGAATCTGAGAGCGAGCAGTCGGCAGAGAAGGCAGCCTACATCGAGAAGTACCTGCGCAGTGTGCTGGCCGTGGAAAACATCCTCACCCTGGACCGTCTGCGGCAGGTCAGTGCCAAGATGGGCAGGTCAATGCCAGACTGGGAAGGCAGGTCAGTGCTGGGCAGGGTTGGGCAGCGTGGGATTGGGCAGAGTGGGGCTCCACTGGCTCCTCGTCCCCCAGCAAATCGTGTTCACGATCCTTGTCCTCACTCCATGGTCTCGCCCCAAACTACATCTGCCACCTCCCCAACCCCAACCAGCCCAGTCCCCTCTCACACTCAGCTTCATATCCCCCGCCAGACCCTGCCCCTCCCCCCCACGTTTATGTCTCTGTGGGTACTGTCTGCTGTGTGTCCAGTCCAGGCCCTGACATGCTGTGTGTGTGTGTGGCTGTGTATATGTGGCTGTGTGTGTCAGTGTGTGCTGCTGTATATGTATGTAGCTGTGTGTGTGTCCAGTGCTGTCCTGACTCTGTGTGGGTGTGCGTTTGTGTGTGTGTATTTGTGTGTGTGTGTATGTGTGAGTGTGTGTATGTGCGTGTGTGCGTGTGCCCAGTGCTGCCCTGACATCATGCTGTGTTTGTGTGTGAACAGGGTGTTGCAGTAAAGGAGCTGCTCGGTACCAAGCACAAAATAAAGAGGAGATGCATCAGCTCCCCCAACGTCCACCGGGTACGTCAGCTCAGCTCAAGGGTGGGGTGTAGTGGGGGGGGGTGGTGGTGATGCGTGTGTGTGGTGGGGGATGTGTGTGTCAGCACCTTGCGACGTCCTCCCGACGTGAAAGGTGCTATACAAATGGAATTTTGTCGTTGTTGTGTGAGGATGTGTTGTGTGTGGGGCGGGGGGACGGCGGGCATGGGATGGTGGGTGTGTTTGTGGAGGGGATGGATGTGGATGTATTGTGTGTGTGTGTGTGTGGAGGGGGGAGGGTGTTGGGGGTGAGTGTGTCAGGTGTGTGGATATATTGGATGTGTGTGTATGCGATGGGGGGGTGGAGGATTTGCTGCTAACGGAATATTTCTCCCAGATGGAGTGAGAGTGAGGGGGTGGGGGTGGATGTGGACAGTGGTGACAATGATCTCCTCAAGCTGGGAATCAGAGACACCAGCTGTGGTACAGGGAGAGGTCAGAGGAGCTCACTCTGACTCTGATCTCAATGTGAGGAACCCTCTCCTTCTACAGAAGAATTAGGGGAGATCTTATTGAAACATATAGGATTCTTAAAGGGCTGATAAAGTAGACACTGAGAGACTGTTTCCCCGGTGGGAGAATCTTTAACCAGGGGTCACAGTCTGAAAATTAAGGGTCAGCCTTTTAGAACAGAGTTGAGGAAACATTTCTTGACTCAGAGGGCAGTGACTTTATGGAATTCACTCCCCCCGAAGGCTGTAGATGTCAGTCCTTGAACATCTTCAAGGCTGAGACTGATAGATTTTTAAAAAACAGAGAGATTAGGGGATATGGGGAGAGGGCGGGTAATTAGAGTTAGGTGAGAAGATCAGCCATGATCTTATCAAATGGTGGGGCACAGGCTCGAGGGGCCGAATGGCCGACTCCTGCTCCTAATTCATATGTTCTTATGTTCTTAATACTCTGTACAGACACGATGGCCGAATGGGCTTCTGTGCTGAAAATGTCTAATACTCTGTGACGGTCTCTAGTCTGGTTCCTGAGCCAGGCGTCCACAGTGTTCCAGGACACTGCGGTGGGCAGCACAGCCCAGTCTGGCTCATCGGCAGGACCTGGAAGGGCAGACCAGTCATATCAGCTCCTGTTAACCCTTCAAACCAAAGCCCTAATGGGTAGGGTGGGGTAGGGTGGTCTTAGCTCGACAAGCAGTGGGAAAGTTTACCAATAAAAAAGATAAAGGCAGAACATTGAGAAGCAGGTGCTTTGTGTTCATCCACGTTGTCTCGTGTTTGGGTTCTCTGTCACCTGAGTCCCATCACTGACCTTCCTCTCTCTCCCCCACCCCCCTCTCCTCCACCCTACTCCCTAACACAAACACACACTCAGACAATACACACACAGACACGCACAACCATGCAGACAATACACACACAGACCCAGCGCTCTTGCGGAGGAGCCTGTGGTTGCAGTTCACTTTCTGACTCCCCCCCCTCCCCACTGACCTGAAATGTATTTTCATGACTTTTTACTGAAGTAACTTTAATATATTTTTCCCTAAAGCTGTCCGGAAACCTGACTGCAAGATCCAACCTAGAGTATAACAAGGTAGTTATTATAATAATAATCATAACAATAATAATAATCCTTACATTTAATATAGTGACTTATCACATCATTGAGATGTCTCGAAAACGCTTCACGGGATATACTGTAAAAGTGTAGTGAATGTGTATTTTGTGGGCGGACACGACATCCAATTTGAGCACCGCGAGAGAGAGAGAGAGAGAGAGAGCGCTCCCACTGAGTCAGGCTGACGCACTGTTAGTTACTCTTCTACAATACAATTCACGTTCGCCCATAAAATACAGTCACTGCACTTTACAGTAAAGCTTTGAGGCTTCCTCCTGATGTGGAAGTCACTGTATTGAATGTGAGGGCTTGTTGTTGAGCGCCCTGAGACGCCAGCCTGGTGGAGGGCCCAGGATAAGTGCAGGTTGTTGTTGTCTGCGTGATGGGGATGATGCTTGTGTTGATGGTTTTGTTTGTGGGCAGAGTCGATGGGAAAGCCACCAGGATATCTCGGCCAGTGCCCAGCAGTGTAGCCGGGGGGGCACAGGGTCCCGCTCCCCAAGTCGCGGGGACCACACACAGAGCCAGGCACAGGAGACGGGTGAGACGTGTGTGAGCACCCAACACAGCACCCTCCACAAGCACAGACTCGCAGCGCTGCACAGTGTGGGCTTGGCCACAACGACACTGACAGCTACACAGCACCACCGGCACCATTGCACACAGTAACGTTACAGCCTCCCTTCGCTCAGCGAGCACCAGCCGCTTCATGTCCCCCTCCCACCATCAGCGGCCAGGCTTTCAGCCATTCTGCCCCCCCGCTCTCTCCAACTCCATCCCGTAGTCCGTCCCTCCCCCCCCCTCCCTCCCTCACCTCAGGATCTATGAGATACAGATCAGCTGGGACCTACTAGAATGACGAAACAGGCTTGAGGGGCTGAATGGCCTATGTTCCTATGTCTTTCCCCTCCCCCCGCCAGTTGGGTACCTCGCCAGCATTGTGAATATGCTTTGAGATATCCTCCCGACGTGAAAGGCGATGTGTAAATATCTATTGTGTAATGTGTAGTCACACTGTATCAGGTTCTTCACTGTAAAGGTCCCTCCTGGGATGTCCTAATGTTCTCCCTATACTTCCCACCACACGGCCACTACAATGGGACTCCTCCTCTGGTAAGGAATTCCAAACGTTTCCTGTTCTCTCTGAAGAATCCTGGCCTTGGTGGGTTTATACTTTAAACCACAACCATCGGGCGAACTGCTATTTATTTCATTTTGTTTGATTATGGTGAGAAAATTTCTCCCAACTCTTTAGTGAAGCCGTGTTATACAGAAGCACGTTACAACAAAATATAAACACAGTCAATTCACTTTACAGTATATATAGGATAGATTTCAAGATCCTCTCACTTGTCATCAAATCCCTTCAGGCCTTGGCACCTCCCTACCTCTCCAATCTGCTTACCCACCAACTCACAATCCGCTGCCTCCGCTTGGCTGGCTCCGGCCTCCTGCATGTCCCTGATGCCCTCCATTCCACCATTGGTGGCCGTGCTTTCAGCCACTATCCCCCGAAACTCTGAAACACTCTCCCCTCTATCCCACCGCGTTGCCCCTTCCTTCTCCATCTTCAGGTTGTGCCTGAAGACCTTCTTCTTCTTCAACTGTGCCTCCCCTTCCCGCCAGCTCGACTTCGTGCTCCGCCACTGTCAAGCGCTCTGGGACACTGCCCTGCGAGAGGGGCGCTGGGTAAATGCAAGTTATATATCCTGTGAAACGCTTTGAGGCGTCTCAACGACGTACGTGATTAGGGCTCTGTATCAAACTCAAGGATTATTATTATTAACAACAACTTGCATTTATTTATCTAGTTCCCTTCACGTGGGGGAGCGTCTCAGTTAGAGTTCTGATGTTGTTGTAGTTTCTCGCCAACGAAATCTCATCAAAACAGCTGGAGGGAGACGGGCTAAGTTTGTGTCTGGTTTACTGATCGGTGGCTTCTCTTCCCCTCAGAATGGTTGTCAGGCCTGGCAGAATCCTATCTGGCACCGGTGAAGGTGATTGTCCCTCAGATGCCCAGGATCCTCAAGTCCCTGTTCCCGGTCAGAGATGACAAGGAGAAGAGGAGGTCGGCCCCTCCGTTAATTCAGCAGGTAAACAACAACAGCAACTTTCACGTCGGGAGGACATCCCAAGGTGCTGACTTGACAGCTGAGGGTATGCAGTCGTTGGTGGTTGGATTCGAGAGGGTTGGGGGCCACGCCAGGTGGAGGGGGGAACATGACCAAAGGCTCGGTCAAAGAAGAGGGTCTTGAGTCAGGCCTTGAAGGAGGCATTGGAGGGGGCTCGGCAGAGGGGCTCCGGGATGCAGTTCCGGAGGATGGGAACACTGTGGTGGAGGAGGCTGTTTGTGTGTGTGTATATACGTAGATATGTGTATGTGTCAAGGTATGAGTAATAATAATTCTCGTGGAGTCCTGTAGCTCAGTGGTTAGAGCACTCACCTGGCAAGCGAGAGACCTGGGTTTGATTCCCAGCGTGGTGAAACCGTACTCCACACGCCTAATAATAATCCCTTAAGAAAAAAATAATGTGGTCACTCAATCCACGACTGTTTGTGGGACGCTGCTGTGCCCCATTAGCTGCCGCATTTCGCCCACAAAATATACAGTCAATTCACTTTACAGTATATCCTGTGAAGCGCTTTGAGACGTCTGGAAGAAGTAATAAGGCGCTGTAACAAATACAAGGATGATTATTTAATTATTGTTGTACTTGATGAATGAAGCGCCTTTCACTTTGTGTGTTTATAGATGTGTCCACACGCGTGTTTGTGTGTAAATTCTTCTAATGTTTTTCATGTTAACTTTGACTTCTGTTCTCTGGAATTCCAGTCCTCTCGACTCGACCCCACCCCCCCCACCCGTTCAAGGTTCGTCTCAACCTACCTCTCTGACCACACTTTTGATCAATCCTCCCCCAACCTCTCGGCTCCCACCCCAGCTCGGTGCCCAGCTGCCCCTGTTAAGTGCTTTGGGACGTCCTGCGAAGGTGGTGTATAAGTGTCACTGTGTTTGTATTGAGCTGTGTCTCCAGTCCACTGACCGTTCTCTCCATGCTCTCTCTCTGCAGACTGTCCCTCGTATCATGGTGCAGTCTGCCAGCCCGGACAGCACTGCTGAGGACAGCAAGGAGGTGAGGAGCTATTGCGTGTGTGTGTGTGTTCGCGCAGGGAGAGAGAGTGTGTGCATGTGTGTGTGTGTGTGTGTGCAGGGAGTAAGTGTGAGTGCTAGCGAGTGGGTAGAGTGTGTGTTTGTGTGTCTGCGGGGGGGGGAGATGTGTATGTGTGCGAGAGGGGGAGAGGTGTGTGCGTGTCTGCGGAGGAGGGAGAGAATGTGTGTGTGCGTGAGGAGGGGAGATGTGTGTGTATGTGCTCGCGCGAGGTGGGGAGAGGTGTGTGTGTGTGTGTGCGTATGCGATGGAGGTGCAAGAGATGTGGAGACTGTGTGGAGGGAGGAAAGTGTGTGTGTGTTTTCTGATGTGGGTAACCTGGTAGTCCCTGCTCCCGTCAGCCATTCTGCCCTCTCGTTGGCTATGTTTTCTGCTCTTTGGATGGTGTCCTGTCCTGCCTCCACCCTCCCACCCCCGCCCTGCAGTGAATCAGTTTGATGGCCCTGGTGTGTGACTCTCTCCTAAACCCTTTCTAAATCCTCCCTCAAGACGAAACTTGTGAAAAAGTTCCAGTTTTCCCAATTGTTACAAGTCCAAAGTGTGGAGGAACATCGACAGGTGAGTGACCAGTGTGTGTGTGACACAAGCTGGTGTCAGGGCTGGTGTCGGGGGTGTCAGGGCTGGTGTCTGGTGGTGAGCAGGCGACGATTCTACCCCAACTACCCCAACTGGTGTGGACAGAAAACAGGGATTAGCTTCCAGGCTACTCGGCTTATTTGCTCTCTCTCTCTATCTCTCTCACTCTCTCTCTTTCTCTCACACACACTCTCACACATGCACTCACATGCTGTCTCTGCATAAACACAAACAGCCAGTGCTGGTGACTGACGTAGGGAAACACGGAGCGTGAGTGGCTATTGCTCCCAGTGTGGAGTCCTGTTACTCAGTGGTTAGAGCGCTCACCTCGCAAGCGAGAGACCTGGGTTTGATTCCCGGGCAGAGCAAAACCTTATACAAGTTTCCTTACTCCCACAAGCCTCTGTTTACCCAGCAGTAAGTAGGAACCTGGTTGTTAGTCAGTTGGCCGATCACTTTTGAGATTAATAATCGCTTAAAAAAATATTTTGTCACTCAATTTGTTTGTGGGACGCTGCTGTGCACAATTGGCTGCCGTGTTTCGCCCACAAAATACACAGTCAATTCACTTTCCAGTATAGTCTTGTGAAGCGCTTTGAGGCGTCTCGAAGATGTGATAAGGCGCTATACAGAGTCCTGTAGCTCAGTGTTTAGAGCACTCGCTTCGCAAGCGAGAGACCTGAGTTCAGTCCCAGGCAGGTTAGGGCGAAACCTCGGGCAAGTTTCCTTACTCCACACAGAACCTAATAATATTCCCTCCAAAACCAAAAACAATAATAAATTGGTCATTTTCAATCCACGACTGTTTGTGGGACATTGCTGTGCGCAATTAGCTGCCGCGTTCGCCCACAAATATATATACAGTCAACTCACTTTACAGTGTGTTCTGTGAAGCGCTTTGGGACGTCCTCCCGACGTGAAAAGCGCTATATCAAATGCAAGGATTATTATTATTATATCAAATGGAAGGCTTATTATTATTATCGTCAAGCCTGCTGCCTCCACAGTCCTTGGGAAACACACCCTCAGGAGACTGTGCTGTCTCAGAGAGCAGTCCCAGGGACCTTGAGCCTCCTGTTTAAATTAATGCAGCGAATTAAACTAGATAGTGGACAAACCCTGGGAAATTAGGGCTACGGCAGTTAGTAGTGATGGCGCTATTGGAAAGGAAAAGGGGTTTCTCTCTCCCGCTATCCTGCCCAACAATCTCCCCAATAATATTGGTCACTCACTCCTGGCTATTTGTGGGACATTGTTGGCGCAAATCAGCTGGCAATTTCACCCACAAAATACACAGTCACTACTTTACAGTCAATCCTGTGAAGCGATTGAAATGTATGGATGACATGATGAGGCGCTGTATCAAATGCAAGAATAGTGTCTACGGTGAGATCAGAAAATATTTCTTTACACACAGAAGGTTGTGGGAGAATATGGATTGCCAGAAAGGCAGAAAACATTAGGATAATGATAATAATCTGTGCATTTGAGATCAATGTCGGGACATTGAGACATGGAGAAGTCTCAAAGAGCTTTACATAATATACTATAAAATTAACTGACTGTACCCCCATGATCTGATGAGCTGGTGGAGCAGACCGCTGGGCCGAATGGCCTCTGAAGGGATTAACGGTGGCTTGTCACTCCTTCACCCTGCACTGCGCCAGCACTCACTGGGCAGAGACATTCAAGAGATGGTCCAGGGAATAACATAATGATTACAGAATAAATAATAATTCCTGGTCATATATTGCTGAAGAGAGGGACCGATGATGACATTTGTTTGTGGAAGTAAAGAGAGGCTGGTTCTGTTGTAAACTGGGAATGCGGGTGTGTTATGCGCCGTGTTTGCCCCCCCAGGATGGGTGTGTAATTCAGTGCCTTGAAATGTTCAGTGCCTTGAAACCTTCCCGATGGGAAACGCAGTATACAAATGTGATTTATTCGTTGTTGTTGCCCTCGTTCCCTCCCTGCTCTTATCAACCCCCTTCTCCTGCTCCCCCTTCACTTCCAAAGTCTTTGTGAGGTGTGGGGGGGGCTCTCATGGGGAGGTGGGGGGTCATTCTGTGTCCTACGTTGAAGTGTTCTGGAACCCACGTCAGTCACGGCGATGGAGCCCCTCTGTTCTGCCTCTCTTCATCGTCCAGACAACTCCTCTCCCCTTCCTCTTCGACCGTGTTTACGGCCACCTCCAGGCCTCCCTCCAGCTCGGAGTCTCGGAGGCTCCGCCACTGTTAAGCGCTCTGAGACGCTACTCTGCGTGGAAGGCGCTATATAAGTGCAAATTGTTATTGTTGCCCAACACAAGCTGATTTCAGTGAGTGTAACCCAGGGGTGTGGTTGGTTGGGAGCTCAGAGCTGCACACACTCCTCAAGACGTCTCAGATTGTCAGAAAATAGTCAACGAAGACACAGGATGGTTCTTTTTTTCTTTTTACCAACCAAAGCCGGCCAAGTGGTCAGTGAACTGGGATGCTCTGCGTTCCCCTGTTAGGACCTCCATCAGCTCAGATACCCTTGTGGAGCTCTCCATGGTCTCGGCATCAATCTCTGCCTCTCTGCTGGTCAATGGGAGCGGTGTTATTGTGTGAGCTGGTGAGGGGGAGGGAGGGAGGGGGAGAGGGAGGGGAATGGTGTTGTACCTCTCTCCCCCCCTCGCCCTCCCTCCCCTCTCCCCCCTCTCCCACTCCCCCCCCCCCCCCCCCCCGGTGGTGGTGGTGATGTGTTGGCCCCAATGTTCCCCAACACACGGTGTCTCTGTACATTCCCATCAGGCTCGCAAAGACAACGGGAGGAAAATGGCCACTGCTTCGTTGCCAACGATGACCAAACCAGCACTGGTAAGCGTCCAGGAGCCCGCCGAGACCCCAAGCCAAGACTCAGAGCCCCAGAGCCCGCTCAGCGAGGTCTCCAGTGGCTACTTCTCCCACAGCGTCTCCATGGCCACGCTCTCCGACACCTCCACCCTGGCTGGCAGCCCCCCATCCTCCCACACCACCCCCGACACAGACATCACCCACACTCACAGGCCCTGGAGCTGCGACGGGGTGTCCCAGCTGGACAACAAGGACTGTGCTGGGCCAACAACCAGGCCTGCTCAACCCCAGCCCCAGCCCAGTCCAGCCCACACCAGCTCGACTCAACCCCAGCCCAGCCAGGCTGCAGCCCAGACCAGCCCCGTGCACAGCCCAGAGAGAATGGTTGAGCCAGACATTGGAGGGGACAAGCAATCAGAGGGAGAGGGCACCATGGAGACAGAGGGAGGGGACCCTGCGGAGCCTGACATGAGGAGGAGCCCTGTGTACAGCTCAGACACAGGGAGTGAGGTGGAGTCGGAGAGCGAGGGTGATGTGCAGCTGGAGAGAGGGGGAGACGAGGAGACGGACACAGGGGGAGAAGTGGAGCCAGAGGGAGGGAGCGTTGTCCACAGCTCAGACCCAGGGGGTGACGTGGAGCCCGGTAGCCACATGGACACTGATCCTCGTGAGGGTCACAATGATGTTGAAGAGGAAACGGCTGCTGCTGATGAAGAAGGAGAAGGAACGGAGCCAGAGTTTGTGGCGGAGTCGGGAAGAAGCCTCTCTGTGTGTGAGGAAGCTGGGAAAGGCCTGCCCTCCCGTATCCTCAGCTCCACCCTCAGCCCCGCCCCCGCTTCCCAACCCAGGGCCCCGCCCGGACTGGCCAAACCCCGCCTCACTGTGACTGCGTCCGCCATCACCTTCACAAACCCCTTCACCATCCAGAAGGTCCGCACCTCGGAGCTCAAGTCCTTCACTCGCATCCTGGGGGAGGAGGATTGCCGGAGCGGGTCCGAGCGGGAAGCCAAACGCTCGGCCGCAGACCGGCACAGCTGGAGCCCGGACACCGGGGAGACGGGGGAGGGGAGCGAGGGTAAGTGGGCAGCCCCCGAGGGCTCGCACCCCCCCAGCCACACGTCTGACACGGCCTCCGACACAGAGGATGGAGGAGCTGTGCCCAGCTGGCTGAGAGAGGGCGAGTATGTCAGTATTGGCACCAATAAGTGTGGGACTGTCAGGTATATCGGAACCACGGAGTTTGCGGACGGCGTGTGGATTGGTGTTGAGCTGGATGTACCAGCAGGTAAGACCAGAGACGTTACCCCTCCTCACCTGTTATTCCCTCACCTCCCCCCTCCCCTCCCTTCCTATCCCTTTATAACTGGGGACAGGAACTCTTCCCCCTCAGCTCCTGTTAACCCTGCAAACCAAAGCCCTAGCAGGTAAGGTGGTCCTAGCTGCAGAAGCAGCAGGAAAGCTTACCAGACGGCGCTCTCAATGGCAAGCTATGCGGTTTTAGCTGGCTAGACTCCAGCACTTACCCCAACGCACACCCAAGCCTTGGCTGTCGCCAACCTGCGCCTAATACTTTGCGGAATTAGGTCAGCAGGAGACTTCCCTCCAGGGAGAGAGTAAGAACATAAGAATTTGCTGGCCAAAGAAGACCAAGGTCCATCGAGTTTGCCTTCCACCAACCTGGCAATTGCTTGACATTTCGTCTCCCAAACTATACTGTGTAATATTTTCTAGCAAAAATCTATTTAATTTGTTCTTGAAACAAACATTTTCTGTATTTTTATATTCTACTCCAATATAAGGGGATTTGCATGTGATGCATGGAATGAATTCTCAGCTTGGTTTGGATACTCCTAAGCGTGGTGATGCGTTAGTGTGTGTCAGACACCTGGCTGGGCAAAACAAATCCTTTTATGGACCGAATTTGATGTACAGTCTTGGTTCTAGAGCAGGGCTGGGGGAGGCTGCGTTGTCAGAGGTGCCGTCCTTGGTGAGACATTAAACTGCTGGATGTTAAAGATCTCGTGACGCTATTTGAAAAGAGAAGGGAGTTTCTCTCTCCCGTGTCCTGGCCAACAATCCCCCAAATAAAATTGGTCATTCACTCCATGGCTGTTTGTGGGAGTTGCTGCAAGCAACCGGCTGCTGCGTTTGCCTACAAAATACAGTCATTACACTTGACAGTAAATCCTTTGAAGCGCTTTGAGACATGTCAATGCCATAACTAGCGAGAGAGTGAGGTTTATGTTCTCCTCTTGTCTGCTCTGCTTCTCTCTGGAACGCAATCCTGGAGTCCCACCGACTTGCTCTCTCCCACACCACCTTCAAGGTTCTTCAAGACTTACCTCTTTGACTGCTTTTTCGGTCATCGGGAGGACCTGGGTTTGATTCCTGGGCAGGGTTAAAGGTCAGGCAAGTTTCCTTACTCCAATATGCCTCTGTTTCGCAGTAAGTAAGAACCCAATTGTTAGTCGATTGGTGGATTGATTTTCCAGGGATAATTCCTTCAATAAAATAAATAATGATTATTTGGTCACTCAATCCATGACTGTTTGTGGGACACTGCTGTGTGCAATTGGCTGCCATGTTTTGCCCACAAAATATACAGTCACTACGCTTCACAGTAAATTCTGTGAAGTGTAGTGACTCTGTACTCTGTATATTCTGTGAAGTGCTTTGAGATGTCTCAACGACGTGATAAGGCGCTGTATCAAAATGCAAGTCTTATTGTTGTTAAGCTTGAGACGTCCTCCCGACGTGAAAGTCATTGCCGTATTGTGAGGGCGGGGAGACCTGGTGCAAAACCCGTTGTATAATCAGTGCTTAACGAGAATAGTGCAACCTCACCACATGGGCGTGAGCCCCAGAGCTCAACCCAACATTCAGCGGAAAGTCAAACAAGTGGGTGGGGCACTTTACTTCATCACAACAACCTGGGGCCTGGCAGGTGCCACCTCAAACCACTGGTGTACAAAGATACGGTGAAAAAAAACTCAACTGTCCAGTGACTTGGGACGTCTTTCCAATGTGAATAAATGTATAAATGTAATGTGTTGTTGTTGTCTGATAACACGGCAGACCAGACTGTGCTCAGTGGCTGAATGGCAGCAAGTACAGGCTTTCCATCGCGATTGGCAATATTGGGGAAGTGGGACTAGTTGGTGGCTCTTCCAAAGAGATGGCACAGGCACGATAGGCCGAATGGCCTCTTTCTGTCCTGTTCTATAATTTCTGCTCAAAACATTCACCAACGGCCATGCCTTTAGCTGCTACATCCTTATCCTCTGTGTCAATCCCTCAGCCTCACCCCCTCTTTATCTGGCTTTAATTCATCTCTTGAACCGTGTATTATGATCCCCTTCTGCCTCGCTCAGTGTCTGACCTCCCCACTGTGCAGCCCCCGAGACACTAACCTGTGTGAGAGACGCTGTGTAATTCACATTGTTGTTGTTTTGGAATGTGTATCAATAGAAAAAGTCTGAAAGGTGTGAAGGAGGAGTGGGGTAAACGGTGAGCTCCAGCCTTGTGGGGAGTTTGGGAATCCACCTCTTGCATGAATTGTTTGGAATTTTTGGATCGGCTGAACACACATACCCACCCACACAAAACCCCTCCTCCCATCACGCCAGCCCTCGCCAGGCTCTACTGGCTCCCAATTACTAAACGGATCAATTTCAACCCGCTACCCGCTACCCGCTGCCTCTGCTCGGCTGTCTCCAGCCTCCTGCTTGTTCCTTGTCCCCTCCACTCCACCATCGGGGGCCGTGCTTTCAGCCACTACTCCCCGAAACTCTGGAACTCTCTTCCTCTATCCCTCTGTCTTGCCGCCTCCCTCCCCATTTTCAAATCACATCTCAAGACTGTGCCTTACAGTCACCTCCTCCCGCCTCAGAGTCGGGCTCTAGAACTGTCAGACCTTCAGCCTCTCTGTCCCCACCCTCTGCAAATCCAGCTCAGTCCCTTCACCTCAACCCCTCCCTTTGCCTCCTTCAAGGCACGTCTCAAGACCCTCCTCTTCGTCAGCGCCTTCGGCCACCTTCCTACCCCCACCCTCCCCGCCCTCCACCCCTCCTGATCCCAACCCCCAGCTCGGGTACAAATCCCTGACTGTCCAGCGCCTTGGGATGTCCTCCCAACACGAAAGGCTCTGTAAGCCTTTGTATTGTTGTTTGAAGGATTTGTTTCCTGTTGTGTTTTGTAGGTAAGAACGACGGCAGTGTTGGAGGACATCAGTATTTCCGGTGTAATCCAGGATACGGAGCGCTGGTCAGACCCAACCGTGTCAGCAGGGCCTCGGGGGCCGGGAGGAGGCGAGGGGCCGGGCTCCGGCTCCAGCTAACCTCCGCAGCCGAGGTTAGGCGTAACGGCAACGTCACCAGCTCCAACCCCAACCTGGCCGCGCTGGGGCCCACCCGCACAGACAAGGCAACCAGGAGGAGTGAGCAGAGGAAATCCTGGGCCGCAGAGCAGAAACCTCAGTGAGCAGCCGGGGGGGTTGGTGTGTGGGGTGGGGGGGGGTGTAAACACTGACAATCAATCAATTGCGGGTGAGGAGGGAGTGTAGAACAGTTGCCCTCTCTCTCCCCATCCAGTTAAAAATATCAATACCTCTCTCTGCCCCCCAGCGCACCCATCGCCTCAGACACCTAAGAACCGTTACGGGCATGAGAGCTGTGTAAACACTAACACTGGGCCCCCCCCACCCTCTCTCTCTCTCTCTCTTCAGGCTGAACTAATGTCTTCTCAACACTTTCTCTCTTTTTCTCCCCCCATCACCAGCTCCATCATCTCAGACACCACGACAGGGGGGGAGTGAGGGGGGAGATGCTGACAACCTGAGCTACTGTTTTTATATTAGATTTTTACTCGGTAACCTGGCAGGAAGCTGGAATGACACTTCTCCTAATAGGCTTGTGAGATATTGCAAACTAATGTACATTTGTAATTAATGACCTTTTCTGATTCACACAAGGCTTTTATATATATATATTATACACAGAATCTAAATCTATATATGTGTATATCAGGACAATGTGATTTTCTGACTCGATCGGAAGGGAAATATGCTAACAGCGGGTGATTAAACATTATCATTGATTTTACTGTTGTTCACAGCGACTTTTAATCAGGTGGAAATCGATGGGGTAATTTAAATTTTTTTATTTAAAAAAAACAAGTGTCTGTCTTTTGTTCTCGCTGCGGATCTGGTTTGTGAAATTCTCAGTGTCTACTGAGCTTTGGCTGTCGAGTATAAACATTGGTACGGACTGACTGGGCTGAATGGCCTGTTTCGGTGCTGTACCCGGGATAGTCCCACGAGGAGGTGGTCTGTCCCTGGGTCCAAATTTGCCTCGTCTTGAGTTCAGCAACAAACTGAACAACATTAACATTCTAAACCAGATACACTCATCACAGAAACACAGCTATTAATCCCCACAACACGATTCCTTCCCCGGGAACTCCCAACATCAGCAACCGTGGGAATTTTAATTATACATATATATGTGTGGGATTTGGTTCACGAAACTATGGTCACCTTATCCTGGTCTCTCTGTGCTGCTGTTACCGTGGTTTTATGGAGTCCCGTACCGTAGTGGTTAGAACACTTGCCTCGTGGCCTCGCAGGCAAGAGGACCTGGGTTTGATTCCCGGGTAGGACGAAACCTTAGGCGAGTTTCCTTACTCCACACATCTCTGTTTATGTAGCAGTAAGTAGGAACTTAAGTCAATTGGCAGATCACTTTCCAGGGGTAATAAATAATCCATCAAAAAAAAATGGTCACTCAATCCACAACTCTTTTGTGGGTCACTGCTGTGCACAATTGTCTGCTGCGTTTCAGCCACAAAATGAATTAATTTTACAGTATATTCTGTGAAGCGCTTTTGAGACACTGCAATGACATGATAAGACGTTATATCAAATGCAAGAATTATTATTATATCGTTAATTATATTAACCGTGAAACCACAGACTGCCTCAGAGACAGATCAATTTAAATTAGTTTATTTTTTCCTCTACCTGGAAAGATACAGAGTAATAAACGCAACATTTTTCTTTAAAAAATAAATTTGTTAAAACAAACTGTACAAACGGCATAAAGTAACTTTACATTTGTTTCTGCGAAACAGTCTATGTCAACACAAGGCACTAATCCAGAGATCGAGAGGGGACCACACGCATAGGACCCCAAAGTAACTGCTCGATCCATAGAATTAAAAAAATAATCTAAGGCTTTTTATTTAAATCCCATTCACATTTTCTATTTTAATGTTAAAAAAGTTCCTGTGAGTGGCCTCCCTGATCCAGGCCGCCTTTACTCTGTGCAGTAACCACGACCAGGACATCATGACCTTCCTCAGTGCTAATGCCTTTCACAGCTGTGGGTTAGGATGTGGATGGAGTGCATTGTGTCTGTGCCTTCGCCTCACTCCTTGCCTTCTTCAAGGCATGTCTCAAGGCCTCCTTCGAGCATGTCTTCGGCCACCCTCTTCCCTACCCTCCACCCCCAGCTCAGGTCCAAATCCCTGACTGTCTTGAGACATCCTCCTGACGTGAAAGGTGCTCTGTGCTGCCATGACTGAGATCCGCTAAGTCAACCCAACCCGTGACCTACCAGGGCTTTCTTCCCACTCAGCCGTTAGCACAATGTTAGCCGTTAGCTCGTGGGGAGAAGCCGGTCATTGGTAATGGTGCAGTGGCTCATCAGCTGTGGGAGGGTTCACCTCAATTGATCAGGGTCTCAACTTGCTTCTAAATCTCCGCTGACAGGAGTGGGACATGGATCATGTGACTGCCCCATCCCTGAGCACTGAATCAGTCAGCAATAGTGACTGTGGAACCAGGGGCCGTGAACAAGGAGATCGGATTCCCCTGGTTTATGGCCCTGAGTGGGAGGAGCGAGGGCTTCACAGATAAATGTAGTCAAGTATAGTGACTGTAATTTGTGTGCATATAAGAACAGAAAAGCCAACTTTCATTAAGACTCAATTCAGCGCAGTCATACATCTTAAGCGCCTGTTTGAGATGACCAACAGCTCGACATTTGGGGATTGAAGCGAAGGGGTATGAAGCTCCCCTTCTCTCTCCTCCCAACACTTCCCAGTCTCTGCTTTCTAATCAACTTTTACCTTGAGTTTTTTTTGGTCGGCCGGGTGTCTGACACAGAAACCAATCACCGAGCTTAAGAGTATCCAAACCAAGCTGAGAATTCCCCGCTTCCCGCCTACACATGGAAATCCCAGAGATAGATTGTTGGAATGGAAAGCGCTCTCTCTCCCTGGAGGGATGCATCCTGGCTTACCTAATTCCGGAAAATATTAAGCGCAGGTTGGCAAGAGCCAATGCTTGGGCACTCCAGAGTGTGCGTTGGGGGTAACTGCTGATATCACTGTCTGCAAGCTTTCCCGCTGCTTGTCCAGATGGGACCACCCTACCCATTAGTAGGGTTTACAGGAGCTGAGTGGGATGACTTCCTGCCCCCAGTGACTGGTCGGCCCTTCCAGGTCCTGCTGTGCTGTCATGAGCAGTGCCCTGGAATACTGTGGACCTGCCTGGCTCAGGAACCGGACTGGAGACCCTCACAGATCGATCACTCCCTCACTGAGATTCCTGCACATTGTGGGAGTTGTGTGTAAGGCGTGTAAACAAACCCTTGTGCAACCGAGTGTTTTGTTGATTGTAAAGCTAAATTAAGGGCATTTTGCAATTCCCTTTGTACAAACCAGTTTACACAGCACATAACCTCCCGCTTTACACAGCTGTGTAATATGCCTGTGTTTACACAAGGCACATGATTCACGACAAATGATACTCCTACATTTACACATGGTTTACATACACACAATATACCCAGGTTTACTCGTGGTTTACACTGGGCACACACTAGCCCCAATGCTGCTGGACAAGGACTACAGAAAGCTGTCAGGGTTGGGCTGGCAAGATTAAGATTGTGTCCAGCCTGGCACCTGCCTCCACCAGCACCCAGGGAGGGAGCCCCATCACCACCCGGTAAAGGCACGGCCCATGCCGGTTACCAGACTTCACGGCTGGAATGCTGAAGCTGCGGCTACCAGGCAATGTTACCTGAATGATTGGGAGGGCATCGGATACAACAAAGTGGTGATGCTGAGAGTTCTCTAAAAATAACTCACCTCATCTACACACACTACAGTCACTCACTTCATCCCTTAACTGGTGAACAGTCCTAACTCACTGAGGACAACAGTTAGTGCGTTCGCTGTCCTGGATGCCTGCTGACTGGAGACCGTTGGGAGGCTGCCGTAGGCTACTAAATGGATTTAGTTTATCCCCCCTACCCCACCCCAACCAAGGAGCCAGGCTATCTCTCCACTCCACAATCCCAGCCATTCCGAAGGACATCTTTCCGTGATCCTCACCCCACCCAGATCATTCTCATTTCTTCGTTCGAAAGTCCTTGAGCCCAGACTGAGGGAGCACAAGCCAACGTTACTGGGCTGCTGATGGTGAGCGTCACTGGAGTGTGGGGTGAGGAAGGGTGTGAACTCGGGTAATAGCACTGTGCCAGTATTGGGTACAGCTTCATGGTTAGGAAACAGGTTCAAGTTTTTCACAGACATCGCTGTCTGCTGAAATCTTGAACACTGAGGAATGAAGAGCCAAAGCTTCAGGAAGCATCGCATCAAGACTGGCCTCAGGCGTTGGGCTGAAGACATCAGGTCCCCACTAATGTTTGACAATAAGACAAGCAGCTTCTTTGGCCAGAACCCCAGCCCTAGGGGACATGAGGCACATCCTCCCGTCCAAGGCACTGACTGTCACGAGTGGATGAGGAGAAGCTAAGCTCGCTGAAAACAAGATCATGTACAGATATATTGGGATTTACATTAAGGTTTGGTCGGTCCCACATTGCACCACATCTTGGTCCTGTCCTCCTCGCCTCAGTTATCCTCAATCACCTCAGTCTTTATCCCGCTGCCGCCCCCCTGTCTGGCCAGAGCCAAGATGGTGTGGTTGACAGCAGCCATTTCCACTGCCAGTGAGATGGGATCCTGCTGGAGGTCACTGGGACTTGTGTTATCGTCCTGCGGTTGGGGAGAAGGGTTGGAGCGTTAGGAAAACAGCAACTTTCTCACCATGAACAATGCTACCAATGGTGCTCGCTCCCCCACTGGAGCTCTCTAATCTAACCCCATTTTCTGCTCTTTCCCCCATCGTGTCTGTGTAGCTACCTCACTCCCAGAAGCACTCTCTCCTGAACCTGAAGACTCCTATCTCTTTCTCAGTATTTTGTCACATTCTTCCTTTCCAAACGTTGATCTATCTTGAATGACAAAAATGGCCACCTCCAGGTCATCAAATCACCCAGGACATCACTTCCTGTGTGAACATCACACACTTCCCGTGGGTACCCTGTAGACCGACAGGAGTTGCAGTGCACATCTGATCTCTGGTGTGTATCACAGGTTCATGCCTCAGTCCCACTAAATGGGACGTGGAGTCCTGCAGCTCAGTGGTTAGAGCACTCGCTTTGCAAGTGAGAGACCTAAGTTCAATCCCCGGGAGGTCAGGGCCAAACCTTGGGCAAGTTTCCTTACTCCACACAGAGCCTAATAATAATCCCTCCAAAAACAATAATAAATTGGTCATTTTCAATCCATGACTGTTTGTGGGGACATTGCTGTGTGCAATTGACTGCCGCGTTTCACCCACAAATATACAGTCAACTCACTTTACAGCATATTTTGTGAAGCGCTTTGAGGTGTCGAGAAGACGTGAAAAGTGCTATATCAAATGCAAGGATTATTATTATTAAATGCTGAAAACGCTGGTGAGAATGGTTGCCGGCTTCTCGTGCTATTCGTGGCAAAACCATTGGGAACCTGTGATCCCAGAAGAGCCGCCTCACAGCCACACCGCAGACCCTGCACAGCACAGAGTCTGATCATATGGAGGAGCCAAAGTACAACACTTTACCACAGGGTCCCAACCCCTAATATAGGGAGCATTGCTGACCACCTCATCTCCAGCATTGAGAAGGAGTGGAATCCTGGGGTATAGTGGTTAGAGCACTCGCCTCGCAAGCGAGTGTACCTGGGTTCGATTCCCGGGCAGGGAGAAACCTTGGCATGTGGAATAACAACAAGCAAACAAATTACAATTATATAGTGCCTTTCACATCAGGAGGACGTTCCAAGTTTCCTTACTCCACAGGCCTCTGGTTACCTCGCAGTAAGTAGGAATCTGGTTGTTAAAATTTGGTCATTCAATCCACGACTGTTTGTGGGACATCACTGCACAGTTGGCTACCACATTTCACCCACAAAATATACAGTCAATTCACTTTACAACATATTCTATGAAGCACTTTGAGACGTCTGAACAAAGTGATCAGGCGGTATGTCAAACGCACGGATTATTATTATTAGTGTCCTAAAGGATGTTGACATGGTTTGTTCTCCTCTTTGTAAATCCACTCAGGTTCTTATGTGCAGTATTTAAAAAGGTGAGGGATTTAATGAGATAAATAAGGAGAAGCTATTTGCACTGGTCGGTGATGAGATGGTGTAAATGTAAGATCATTAGCATTTCCAATCAGACACGCAACACTCTAAAGGCACTGGTTGAAGCAGAATCCATTACAACAACAACAACATTAGAGTTCAAACAAAAATTGGGCAGATATTTTAAAAAGAAAAATATAAATGGAGTGTGGGGGAGAAGGGAAGGCCAGGGGAGTGGGACTAAACAAGAAGATCTTTCAGAGCACTGGCACAGGCACAATAGGCCGAATGGCCTCCTTTTGTGTTTCTAACATTGTATGATTCTTAAGTGATTGAAACTGTTGGTTGAAGTCTGGAAATTGTCAGGACAATGTTTTTTTACCGGGCGAGTGTGTTTGACACATGCGGAAACCCATCACCGGGGCTTAAGAGCATCCAAACCAAACCGAGAATTCCATGTATCCCACCAACACATGGAAATCCCAGAGTCAGAATGTTGGGATGGAATGTGCATTATTTCTCTCTCTCGTAAGACGAAAGGAAGACTGAAGGAAGTGAGGAGACCCATCCACTTAAGGGACAGTGAAAGGAGACTGAGTTTTGGGTTCAACAGTCAGTCTGTAGTACAGAGTAATAGTCTGTAAAATGCATAAACTTGGTCTCTATTTGGAGTTTAGAGGTTGAGGGCTGTTAGTTGTTAATCCGACTGAGGATCTTAAAATAATAAAGGGATTTGATAGGGCAGTTACAGAGAAACTATTTCCCCTGGCGGGGGAATCCAGAACAAGGGGCATCATTAAAATTAGAGCCATTTAGGAGTGAAACCAGGAGATAGTTTTTCACAAAAAGGTTAGTGGAAATCTGTAACTCTCTCTCCCAAAAGATTGTGGATCCTCGATCCATTTATACCTTCAAGATTGAGGTGGTGAGCTATTTGTTAGGAAAGGGTATTAAGAGACACGGGGCAAAGGCAGGTAAATGGACTTGCGGTACAGATCAGCCATTAAAGAATGGTGGAACAGGCTCGAGGGGCTGAAAGGTCTACTCCTGTTCCTCTGTTACAGAGAGAGAGGGAGCACGGACTGGAGAAAGGACAGGGAGTGTGACTGGAGGGAGAGCTCTTTCGGAGTTAGAGAGAGAGAGAGAGCGGGCACAGACATGATGGGCTGAACGGCCTTCTGTGCTGTAAAGTTGTCTGATTAGATGTGATTGTGGCTGAGGGCAGGGAGATGGGGATGTGCTGTTAACTGCTTTCCCCACCTCCTGACACTCACCAACATTCTGGCCTAGCCAGTGCGGGACGGGCGGGTTGGCCTATTTGGGCGAGGTCCCGCCGGGCTGGTAGAGCCCCTGGCACCAAGCGCCAGCGGGAGTGACCGCCCTGGGGACAGGAGGAGAGAAGAGAGAAGAAAACGGTGAAGAATAAATCTTGGCAGGAACCGCGAGGCAGAAAAGAAAGCGGTTCTTTTATAAAGTGCTCCAGAGAGTTTCACCCAAAGCCACACATCAACAGCCCTCACCTGCTCCAGAAATCACTCCCATCAATGTCGTCGCTGTTGGAATGAGCTCCCGGGCTCTGCACATCGATGCCATGCGTTTCCAGGATTGCTGCTTCTTTGAAAAAGCAGAAACATCCATTAAAAATACATAATAATTAATAATTATCCTTGCATTTGATACAGCACCACATCACGTTGTTGAGACGTCTCAAAACACATCACCGAATATACTGCAAAGTAGATTGACTGTATTTTGTGGGCAAAACATGGCAGCCAATTGCACACAGCAGCGTCCCACAAACAGTCGTGGATTGAGTGACTAAATTGAAAAAAATGAACATGCAAAAGAACAACCTCTACTCAAAAGGGCAGACATCTTTTAGATTCTTTTCTTGCTCAAAAAAACATCTAAAAATTGTGATAGAAGTTCAGGAAACATAGGCCCCCTTTCTCGTCTCCGTCTCAAGACCTTCCTCTTTGACCGTGCCTTTGATCATCCTCTCATCCCCACTCCCATTGCCCTCCACCCCTTTTAATCCTAATCCCCAGCTCGGGTGCCAACCCTACACTGGCCAGCGCCATGGGATATTAATGGCTCCAGCACAGACACGATGGGGAGAGAGAGAGAGAGAGCAGGGAATGGGGTTAGAGTAGGGAATTCCGGCACAGACACGTTGATCTGAATAATAATGATAATAATCCTTGCATTTGATATAGCGCTTTTCACGTCGGGAGGACGTCCCAAAGCGCTTCACAGAACACACTGTAAAGCGAATTGACTATAGTTGTGGGCAAAACGCGGCAGCCAATTGCGCACAGCAATGTCCACAAACAGTCATGGATTGAGTGACCAATTTATTATTTTTTTCTTCTTGAGGAATTATTATCCGACGTGTGGAGTAAGGAAACTTGCCTAAGGTTTTTCCCTGCTGGGAATCAAACCCAGGTCTCTCACTTGCGAGGCGAGTGCTCTAACCACTGAGCTACAGGTCTACCACCACATTGAATAGACTCGTTCTGTCCTGTAAACGGTCTGTGATTCTACAACTTCCTTAAACATTACCAATGTTTGCTCTCTTCTTGATCTCCTTCCTGCGGTTGGCAAACCAGTTGTACACCTTCAGTGGGGTCACTCGCTCGGTCTCCGTTAGCTTCTTACCTACAGACAGAAAACCACACAGTAGCAGATCATGTCAGGTTTAGCCGCCAAAGCCCTGGGTTTGTGGTGATACCCGACAATGTGGACAGGCAATGATCCACTGCCGTGTGCCCATAAACATTGCTCTATGAAGAGACTTGCAATCCCTTCATGCCCTGGAACCTCCCTACCTTTCTGACCTGCTTTCTCCCCACTCCACTACCTGCTGCCTCTGCTCGGCTGGCTCTGACCTTCTGCTTGTCCCTCATCCCTTCCACTCCACCATCAAGCTTCTTGTTGTACTGGCTGAAAGCGTGGCCGCCGATGGTGAAGAGGAGGGCATGCAGAAGGCCCGAGCTGGCTGAGTGACGGAGTGGGTGCGAGCAGAAGGAGGCAGGGAGGTGCTACCCAGTGAGCGGGGCTGGCATTCTGTAAGTCAATCCCACCTGTTAGATTATAGAAGTTGTAGTCTAATAATAATGAACATTAAACAAATGTAGAATGGAGAAAGTACTGACGGTCATGGGATAGGACACATCTGGTTTGCTCTGTTTCTGAAGGAGTAACAAGGCAGCTGTGGAAAAGGGCAGAGGATTACCACTTATCAGTAAATAACAACAAGCCCACAGAGGTAACGGTCCAAGGTACCGGTCGACACAGGATCTCAGCTCAGCAATAAGCCGTTAGATTCTGACAGGCCCCGCATATACCATAGCAACAAATGAGCAAGTTGGTCAAACTGGAGGACTTTGGTACCATCCCAGGAATGTACTAATGGTTACACATAATAAAGTAACGAGCACCAGATACAGCCCTAAACCGATCAATCTCCTATCTTAGACAGGACAAAGGGAAGACCTCGTGGAGACTCGGTCAGGCTGGCACCAAGCCAAACGATTGATTAACCTGAGCACGTGACAGTATCAGAAGTGGGTAGAGGGGCCCTAGGAAGGACACTTGGAGAAAGGGTATAACTAGCCCACCTCTAGGTGAGAACAGTTAGAAGAACAGGAAGACTCCAGAGAGAGAGAGAGAGAGAGAGAGAGAGACGGAGTGTGGAGAGGTCCCTTTAAGAATCACAAGGAAGGTGTTCCATGATGTTGTGTGACTATCTTCAAATATAATTTGTTAGACAGTTTCAGTAACTTGTTAATGCATGTTATGTTCACTCTGTTCATAATAAACCTGACTGCACCATATTTGGACTGTCGAGTCACATTTCGAACTATGGGATCGGAAATCCCAACACACTCCTGAAAGCTATCCCACCAGCTGTGTTTTATTTAAAGTTATGCCTCACCTGGCTTCTGTACCACTGCGTTGCAGGCGTTAGAGATCTCCTCCCTCTTGGCTTCATCGGGATATTGATTTTCATGGAAATAACTAAGTGAAGAAAAGCACACAAGATATTCCATCAGGTGACACCGCACAGCCCCGGCCAGTCCAGAGCTGGCCATCAGTCAAACCTGCCTTAGAGAGAAATCACCTCATCACATCGAAAGGTCTCGTAAAAGCTTTATAGTCCAGTAAAACTCACATACGTCGTATCCCTCGGGTTTTATAACATTTAATATGACTTGCATGAAGTCCGAGTTGTAGACAAACTGTATAAGTCGTTGAAAATCTGATTTAATCAATGAACTACTCTGTGCACGTGTAATTCAATGCAGCTGGTAAGTGCGCATGTGGTGATAGATTAAGACTACATTTCCCGTGATTCAATGAGTCTTCACCCGTCACCACATGTGCACTTATCAGCAAGTGTTGGAATCGCAGGATATCAAGTTCTTTCTGCTCATGCGTCGACGGTCAGGGCTATGATTGCCATAATTCAGCGCAGCCGGTAAGTGCGGGAGTAATGGAAGGCAGGGGAGTGGCATTATGAGTTAGGAGGTGATTGATACAAATAGTTTAAATCCGATGGCCTGGTCAAAGAGGAGAGTCTTGAGGCAGGACTTGAAGGAGGCTAAGGAGGGGGCGAGGCGGAGTGACTGGGGGATGGAATTCCAGAGGTTAGGGGGCAGAGTTGCTGAAGGCTCTCCGCCAATGGTGGGGCGGGTGGGTCGGGGGACAACAACAACAACTTGCATTTATATAGCGCCCTTCCCCCAGGGTAGCGTCCCAGACCGCTATAAGCAAGGACAGGATATTTGAGGGTTTGCCTAAAAATAAGCAGTCACCACACTTTACAGAAAAACTATGAAGCGCTTTGAGACACTGACGTTATAGAGCCACTTCAAGTGCCGGGATTATTATTATATGGGCAGATTCAGGATTTGGGCAGATACATGTTATTCAAATTTAATGTAGAAACGGCAGGGGAGTGAGAGCCCACAGACAGGTTTTTATAATAATAAAATAATAATCCTTGCATTTGGTACAGTGCCTTATCGCATCGTTAAGAGGTCTCAAAGCGCTTCACACAATATATCGTAACAAGATAGATGAATTAGTTGCACAAATAGAGGTAAAAACCGGTATGATCTAGTAGCCATCACCGAGACATGGTTTGCAGGGTGATCAGGGATGGGAACTGAATATTCCCGGCTACGTGGTATATAGGAAAGATAAGCGATGTGGTAAACGAGGAGGGGGCGTGGCCCTGCTAATAAAGGATGGGATAAAAACAGTAGAGAGGAAAGATTTTAAATCTGAAAAGCAAGATGTAGAGTCAGTATGGGTAGATAATGTAACTTCAAGGGGCAGAAAACTATAGTGGGAGTAATAATAATAATCCTTGCATTTGATATAGCGCTTTTCACGTCGGGAGGACGTCCCAAAGCGCTTCACAGACCACACTGTAAAGTGAATTGACTGTATATTTGTGGGCGAACGCGGCAGCCAATTGCGCACAGTAATGTCCCACAAACAGTCGTAGATTGAAAATGACCAATTTATTATTGTTTTGGGTTTTGGAGGGATTATTATTGGGCTCTGTGTGGAGTAAGGAAACTTGCCCAAGGTTTCGCCCTCTGCCTGGAATTGAACTCAGGTCTCTCACTTGCGAAGCGAGTGCTCTAACCACTGAGCTACAGGACTCCACAGTAGTTTATAGACCCCCAAACAGTGGTCAAAGTATCGCTCAAGGTATAAATCAAGAGATTAGTGGAGCATGTAGCAAAGGAAAGACACTAATTGTGGGTGATTTTAACCTGCACATAGACTGGGACAACCAAATTGGGAAAGGTAACATAGAAGAGGAGTTTATAGAATGTATTAGAGATAATTTTCTAGATCAATATGCTGAGGAGCCGACCAGGGAACAAGCCATATTAGACCTTGTTTTGTGTAATGAAACAGGGCTGATCAGCAAACTGGAACTTAAGGCTCCTCTCGGGCAAAGCGATCATAATATGATGGAATTTAGCGTTAAGTTAGAGAGGGAAGTAGTTAAGTCTGAAGCAAAAGTCTTCAATTTAAATTGAGCCAACTTTGCTGGTATGAGAGAGGATTTAGCCAGAATAAACTGGGAGACTAAACTTTGACGGTAGACCAGCAATGGCAGACATTCAAGGAGATAGTGCAAAATTCCCAACGAGCACATATTCCTTTGAGGAATAAGAATGCCACGGGAAAGGTGGTGCAGCCGTGGCTAACGAGAGCAGTTCGGGACAGTATCAAATCAAAAGAAAAAGCCTATAAAACAGCGAAGATGAGTAGTAAACCCGAGGATTGAGAGAACTTTAGGGAACAACAGAGGAGGACCAAAAAGTTGATCAAGAGGGAGAAAATAGATTACGAGGGCAAACTAGCAAACATAAAAGCAGACTCCAAGAGTTTTTACAAATATATAAAGAGGAAAAGGCTAGCGAGGGTGAATGTGGGTCCATTACAGGTAGAGACCGGAGGAATTATAATAGGGGACAAAGACTCACCATTAAAGTCATTAAACAAGTATTTTTCTACAGTCTTCACCGTGGAAGACACTGGAAACATACCAAAAATAGAGGACCAAGAAGACAATGTTAGCGAGCAACTGAGGGAGATTAACATTAGTAAAGAGATGGTTCTCGGTAAATTGTCGGGTCTTAAAACCGATAAATCCCCTGGACCGGATGTCCTGCATCCGAGAGTTTTAAAGGAGGCGGCTACTGAGATAGTGGATGGCTTGTCTATAATCTTCCAAAAGTCTGTGGATACTGGAAAAGTTCCCATTGATTGGAAGATTGCAAACGAAATTCCACTATTTAAGAAGGGTGGGAGAGAAAATAGGGAAAACTATAGACCAGTTAGTTTGACGTCAGTTGTAGGGAAAATTCTTGAGTCCTTAATAAAAGACGTAGTTATGGGATACCTGGAAGACCATGAAAAGATTAGGCAGAGTCAACATGGCTTTACAAAAGGGAAGTCATGCTTGACTAACCTTTTAGAATTTTTTGAGGATGTATCCAGGAGGTTGGATAAGGGGGAACCAGTAGATGTGGTATATTTGGATTTTAGGAAGGCATTTGACAAGGTGCCACACAAAAGGCTGTTACTCAAGATCAAGGCCCACGGGATTAATGGGAAAATATTAACATGGATAGAAGAGTGGCTATCGGGTAGAAAGCAGAGAGTAGTGATAAACGGATCATTCTCGAATTGGCAGGATGTAACTAGTGGAGTGCCACAAGGATCAGTGCGGCCTCAGCTATTTACCATTTACATCAATGATCTGGACGAGGACATTGAATGTAATGTGTCTAAATTCGCGGATGATACTAAACTAGGTAGCAGAGTGAGCTCTCAGGATGATGCAAAAAGATTGCAACAAGATATAGATAGGCTCGGGGAGTGGGAGTAGGTGGCAGATGGAATTCAATGTTAGCAAGTGTGAAGTTATTCACCTAGGTAGCAAGAATAAAAGAACAGATTATTTTCTGGAAGGGGAAAGTTAGATAGTGTTAGTATTCAAAGGATTTGGGTGTCCTTGTACACCAGTCCCAAAAAGTTAGTTTGCAGGTGCAGCAGCAACTAAGAAGGCGAACGGCAGTTAGCGTTCATTGAAAGGTTTAGAATATAAGAGTAGGGAAGTCTTCCTGCAACTGTACAGGGCCTTTGGTGAGACCGCACCTGGAGTATTGTGTGCAGTTTTGGTCTCCTTATTTAAAAAACGACATACTTGCCTTCGAAGGGGTGCAGCGTAGATTCATTAAGTTAGTTCATGGGATGAGGGGACTGACCTGTGAGGATAGGCTGAATAAACTAGGGCTGTATTCTCTAGAGTACAGAAGAATTAGGGGGATCTTATTGAAACATATAAGATTCTTAAACGGCTGATAAAGTAGACACTGAGCTGTTTCCCCTGGTAGGAGAATCTATAACCAGGGGTCACAGTCTTAAAATTAAGGGTCAGCCTTTTAGAACAGAGTTGAGGAAACATTTCTTCACTCAGAGGCAGTGAACTTATGGAATTCACTACCCCAGAAGGCTGTAGATGCTCAGTCCTTGAACATTTTCAAGGCTGAGACTGATAGATTCTTGAAAAAGAGGGATTAGGGATATGGGAGAGGGCGGTAATCAGAGTTAGGTGAGAAGATCAGCCATGGTCTTATCAAATGGTGGGGCACAGGCTCGAGGGGCTGAATGGCCGACTCCTGCTCCTAATTCTTATGTTCTTATACTGTAAACTGAATTTACTGTATACTTTGTGGGTGAAACACGGCAGCCAATTGCGCACAGTAGCGTCCCACAAAGTTATGGATTGACTGACCACATTATTATATGATATATAAAAGGAGCTTTGCCGCTGAGTAGAGTGATATGAGCAGAACGTTCGGTCACGGGTTCTGTTGTCAAAATATCAAC